ATATAGAGAATATATCTACGGCATGGACGGGATGAGAGGGATGGGTGGGACATCATGTATGACGCGAGCACACCGAATTTGCCCCCCCCCCCCCCCCCGCTTCAGCTCCCTCTCCAGATCTCCCCCCCGTAAGAAACAATTCCTTCCCTTAGCGACCGTTTCCTCATTCATTGTTTTGCCGATCGGCGCAGGCCTTCCCCCCCCCATGGAGTACATATTGGTTGTTTCGGGCGCCTGTTTCAAGCTGGTCGAATCTCCCCACGGGACACATTGATGCAACCAGTCGCATTAAACAGAGGCTCTGGAACCAAAACCCCCTCTCCTTCCTCTCTCCGCCCAGTATCAAAATGCCGAGAAAACAATTTGTCACCCCTCCGCCAAAATAGCATTTCTTCCATTTGTGGTAGGCTCGTGTCGTGTCGCCGCTGCGGCGGCCCGGCCGCGGGCGTTTCAGGGTTGAACGCCAACAGTGGATCATAATCGACCAATATGGAACGATTTGGCGATCAAGGAGCTGTCGATCATTCAAGGTTGAACGATCCACGCGGTGTCGGAAACCAGCACAGGAGTCGTCACGACGCGGACCTGCCGTATGGGTTGCATGGATGAGGACTATTTGGACGATTTGATAGCGGACTCTGTCCTGGGCGGTGGGTTTTCATCGCTCCCCCCCCCCCCCTTCGGCAGGAGGGGGCCCCCGGGCTTGACCAGGCCTGGCCCACCCCCCGCTCCCACCTGGGCCTCCCGAGGCCCAGCTTCCTGGCCAGGGCCCCGACCTGGGTCAGCCACCGTCGCCGCCTGGTCCGCGAGTGCTGAGGCGCCCCCTTGCGCTGCAGCCCGGGCATCCGACGTCTTCATCTTTTCCGCACGGGGTCCTCGGAAGGCGCGCCCCTTCTTGCAGGGCGGGTTCTGCATCCCGGGCCTCTTTCTGTTGCACGGCCCCGGGGCCCTGCGAGGGCACCCGGAGCCCATCAACGGCCAAAAACCTCCCGTCGTGATCTTTTGTCACCCTGTGGATCACTCGCAGGACGCTGTGCGGCAGTGCCGGGGACGCACCGGGGGGGGGGGAGCGTGATGTTAGGGACGGGGAGGGGGTCGAAGCGGGGTCGCAACGAGATGTTTGGCCCAGAGCGTGAACAAAAATTGTCTTTTTGTGACACCGCGTGGATCTTTCAACCTTACCACGATCTGCGATGCCGGAGCCACACGGCAGGGGGGGCGGGGGGGCGTTACGTTATGCCCTTCCCCCTCATACCCAAACCGCCGACGTCGCAATTTTGCTTCATCGTCGACCCCCCAGAGATCTGGACCTCTTCCCTGGGACCGGTTTTTCATCCTGAGCTGGTTTTTACCTAACAGCGAAGACTGATAGGTTTCTAGTAGGGTCAAAAGAGAGCATCATGACTCCCCAGGGGGGTCTGGGCGGGATCCGGACGGGATCCGGGGACTCTTTTTTCAGCCAACAGTAACGCATTTCGTTGTCTTCGAGTTCCCAGAACTCCATTCCTGGGCATGATTCTGAATGCCCGGAGCCAACTGTAGGCCATTTCGTGTTGTTCGAGTTTCCAGAACTCCATTCCTGGGCATGATTTTGAATGCCCGGAGCCAACTGTAGGCCACTTCGTGGTCTTCGAGTTCCCAGAATTCCATTCCTGGGCATGATTTTGAATGCCCGGAGCCAACTGTAGGCCACTTCGTGTTCCTCGAGTTCCCAGAACTCCACTCCCGGGTCACATTTTAAATGCTGAGGCAGGGTGAGGCTGAGGCTGAAGCAGGCTGAGGCTGAGGCAGGCTGAGGCTGAGGCCGAGGCTGAAGGCAGACTGAGGCTGAGGCTGAAGCAGGCTGAGGCTGAGGCCGAGGCTGAGGCTGAGGCTGAGGCAGGCTGATGCTGAGGCAGGCTGAGGCTGAGGCTGAGGCTGAGGCAGGCTGAGGCTGAGGCAGGCTGAGGCTGAGGCCGAGGCTGAAGGCAGGCTGAGGCTGAGGCTGAAGCAGGCTGAGGCTGGGACTGAGGCAGGCTGAGGCTGAGGCTGAGGCAGGCTGATGCTGAGGCAGACTGAGGCTGAGGCTGAAGCAGGCTGAGGCTGAGGCAGAGGCAGGCTGAGGCTGAGGCTGAGGCAGGCTGATGCTGAGGCAGGCTGAGGCTGAGGCTGAGGCTGATGCAGGGTGAGGCTGAGGCAGGCTGAGGCTGAGGCCGAGGCTGAAGGCAGACTGAAGTTGAGGCTGAAGCAGGCTGAGGCTGAGGCTGAGGCCGTCTGAGGCTGAGGCTGAGGCAGGCTGATGCTGAGGCAGGCTGAGGCTGTGACTGCGACTGCCGTTGCCACTGCGACTGTCATCGCGAATGCGACTGCGGCTGCGAGAACAGCAGAATTCTACAACTGGATTCTCATCTGAATCTTAAAGGTGAATGCTTCCAGATGTGCTCCTACACATCGCTGTTAGGTTGCTTTGCCAGGATAATTCACGTTCTGAAGGCCAGGTAAGGGCTCCCCGGGGCCGAATGTAGCGAAAAGCTTCCCGTCGTGATTTTTGTCACAACGCGAGGGGGTCTGGGTAGCGCCCGTTATCGCCGCGAACCAATGAAAAGAAATCTCGCAAACCAGCGCAGGGGGCCGTCACGGCACGAACTTGGCGTGCCTCGCGCCTTGGCCCCTCCTCGGCGCCCCGGCGCGCCTTTTCCCCAGGACAGGCCTCCTGCAGCACCGGCGCAAGCAGCAGCAGCGGCGTTTCACGGACGCCTGCATGGACCGCCGAGGGGTTGGCTAAGGGACGGCCAGCCCCCTTCCTTCAGAGGAGGGAAAGGTACCCATACCTACCTTCGCCCGTTTTCCCCATTTGGGGCCTCTTGGGAGGCCCGCGTCGCCACCGCTGGATTCGCCTCGAAATCTTGGTCTGAACGCACCCCAGGAGAGGTCCGGGGAGTAGCGGTGTCGGTACCTTTTGATTTCCCTACCTCCTCCTCCGCCTCCTACTTATCCTCGGATCGTTCTTTTCGGAAGCAAATCATGGGAACGTTGCATGCTCTCGCAATCCCGTCCTTAGAGTGCATCCACGTGCGCTATCGTCTGGCATCCAACGAAAAGCCGCCGATGTAGCATCGATTAGCGCGGACGTGCATCGATGTAGTGTTATACTAGCGTTGAACAGCGTCGGCTATCAAGCAAGTTTGGCTCAAGCAATGTTGGCTCAAGCAATTTTCAATAATCCTAAGCACAGTTTGCACATATTCCGATCACACAGCAAGCATGGCCATGGTGGTACCCAGCGTGAGGCAAGCGCGGCATGCCGAGCGGCACGCAGCAGTCGCGCGAGATGCAAATATTGTCAACGACCGGATCGACCGGATCGAGTCTGCAATGAGTGAGATTCTGAGCAAGTTGGACATGTTGACACATATTATTGGGATATAATCCAAGATCGAGGTGCCCACACCACCAGGACATCTTGACCGAAGCCTCGAGACAAAGATGACCCGGATCGAACTTGTCCTCTATCGAATTCCAGTGACAGATTTTTGGAACATAGACATGATGATTGACAATATCATGGCGAAGACAATCTAGCGCAACGCAAAGCTTCAGATGGAGCTCACCCCCGACCGACACAATCACATTGTTGCGGCAGAATAGGGAATACCAGACCACATCGAGGATATTCAGAAGACGCTCGACTTCGACACAGCGGGTATGACGGAGGAGGCGCGTGAGGATCAGAGCCGAACCCGATGTCCGCGAGGCCCGAGTCCGAGGAGGACGAGAAACCCAAAAAGATAGGATAGTTGAGGAGACCGGCCTGCTATGTGAAAGGGGCACGGCGGCCCGCATCAACAGCATCGCGGACGACCTGAAAAATATCACGAAGATCTGAGTGGTTCTGGCCCCCCGCCGTCGCCTTCATGGCTCGCGCTTGCGTGCTGCCTGCGCGGACGCGTCGGCTGTCGCCGATTCGCAAGAGCCAGCAAGATGACATTGGGAGCTCCGTTCCCCTCAGTTGCCATGGGAGTCTCTTCATGGTTTGAACGTTGTTGGCCTTCTGTAGGCCTCGAGGGGTCTCCGCGCCATGGGATCGGGGGAGGGGCAGGACGCACTTGGGGCGATGGGCTTTGCGCTTCGTCCTCATCATGCGTGTCCCTCCTCCTCCTCCTCCTCCTCCTCCCTCTCCTCCTCCTCCTCCTCCTCCTCCCTGTTGTCAGTTCCCCCCTGTGCCTCCGATGAGCGTGGACGACCTCATGCAGGCTCCCGCGCGGCGCCACCCGGTTGAGGAAGGCTGCTGGCGCGACAGGGGACGTGGTTAGGAAGGAAAACGGGCCCTCTCTGTTATGCTCCGCCTCCTCCTCCTCTAGATCCACCTCCTCCTCTACATTCACCTGCTCCATACCCCTCAGACATGCGGTGTCTTGATTTCTACAGTGCAGGAGGGGCCCAGAAGTCCGTGCCATTTTCTCAGAAAAGGTCGGCCCCGTGTTCCTCCAGTTGTGCATTCACGTCTTGAGCGTGGCTGGCCTCATGTGGTGCGACCGAGACCGAGCGGTCCGGACATGCCTGCGTATGGTCGCAGCGCCCAAGTGGGAAGTGGACGCTTGACAAACTATTCCCGGCTCGTCGGCAGGATTGGGGATCTTCGGAACAACGTGAAGGACGTCGACATCCGCCTGAATTCATCTGACGAACATGCATGGACACACGAGCGGCTCAACGGCACCCCACCCGCGGCGTCAGCGCAGAGGTCTGCGACCACATCAGGGCGCTGCAGGTGGAGACCGAGCACGGGCAAGAGCCAGGACAGGGAGTTGGTCGCAGTCAATAGGACGGTCGTCGCTCTCAGTTCTGGACGGCGCCCGCGACTGGCTGGATGCTGAGTGGGCGTCTGACGCCCCTATCACAGGGCGGGCTTCACGGCGCGCTCTCTCTGCGAAGTCTCGGGGCCAGCCTGGCAGGAGCGCAGCGGCGCAGGCCCTATGGGAGAAAGCCGTCGAGGCAGGCGGCAGGACAGCTCGGGCCAAGCCGGACACGGCTCTGGCCCGGAGGGTCTCGGTCTCGCGTGTTTGTCTGCCTTCTTGTGTGCATGTTGAAGGAGTGGGGCCACGCCAACAACGGCGTCTGGGCCGATCCCGTTGGGGGGGGGGCAGGCGGGACGTGGAGAGGGCTGGGCTGTATAGGAGGACTCTTCGTCCGCCTGCGCCTGACCGCCGACGCATGCGCTCTCGCGACCTTGCAGCATCCTCCTGCTCCTCCTGCTCTTTGTGCCCATCCCCAGGGTCCTCCTCCTCCTCCTCCTCCTCCTTCTCGTTCCTCTTCCTATCTACCTAATGATCTCTCTCTCTCTCACTCTCTCTCCTTTTCCTTCTCTCTCTCTCTCTATCTCCCCTCATCCTCCTGGTTTTTCTCCCCTTCTCCCTCCCCGCCCTCCCCCCCTCACCTGCCCTCTCCTTCTCCCTTCTCCTCCGCCCTGCTGCCCCCTCCGGAGAAAGGCGCAATCACTGCCCCATTGAGAGCTCGTTGGTGTCGTCGTGCCCTCCGCCGCCCTGCTCACCGCGCCCCCCCCGGTCCCCGCGCGGGCGGGGCGGGGCGGGGGGGGGCTCGATTCAACTTGGGATCCCGATTTGAGATTCCGATGGCCCATTGGAGGCCGACTCGCCTGCCGATTTCCGCAGATTCGACTCTTCCCTTTTCGGCTGCCGACTTCCGCCGATCCGATGCACGTCGATCGCCGATCCGACACATCGAATCGATGCTGGGCTCTCCTGTGGTGGTGAGGTGTGGCTCCTGACTCGTGCCCGGTGGGCCCCAAGCGGAGTTGGCGCGGACCAGAGTCATCCAGGATAGTTCGGTCCTTCCTGGTTCGAGCCTCGAAGGCCCAAGCTGGAGTTTCCCCGGACTCATCGACTCCTCGCAATCATGCGCTGTGTTGGCACGGCAACGATGCTCCGAACAAGTGTAGGATAAACAAGTGCGATACAACAGAATGGATCAGACACAAGTGTGATGAACAAGTGTGATACCAACACAACAAATTGCTTATCATGCGAGTTGTTTTATCACACTTGTTATGTTGTTGTATCACCTGTGTTTTGGTTCCTGTTTTGATCACACTCGTTCTGGGCTCGTCCGGGGTGAGGTCGGCGCCCACACCTGCGGCCCCCCCCGGCAGCAGCTCCGTGCCCGAAGAGGGTCATGGGGGGAGGGGTGGGGGGAGAGGCCGGGCCCGCACCCCATCTGCGGAAGAGCTGCCCGGGGCAGAGCGCCCCGGCCAGAGCCCCGGTTTCTCCAGGGCTGGGGGCGCCAGGGCTTCTTTTTCGATTCCCCCGCTTCTAGAATAGAAGAGAGTATAATACATATATATATATATACATATGTGCATATATATATATATATATGTGTGTGTGTGTATCGATTCCACATCGAACTGGCATTGGAATAGACGTGCTATTCGATTCGGAAGCCATCGAAGTGGAATCGATGGCTTCGATTTGATCTCGGATGCAGACTCCGATTCTCTTTGATGGTTTGCGACTCCGATCCGATTCGACCTCGGACGCTGACTCGGACTCCGATTCCTCACTGGAGGCTGACTCGCCTGTCGATTTCCGCCGATTCGACTTTTCCCGACTCGGCTGCCGACTTCCGACGATCCGATCCGTGTCGATCACCGATCCGACTTATCGATTCGATTTTGGGCTCTCCCGTGGTGAGGTGTGGCTCCTGATTCGTGCCCCAGGAGCCCAAACAGGAGTTGGCCCAGACCAGAGTCATCCAGGATAATTCGAGCGTTCGGGGTTGCGGATGGTCAGGAGTCGTTCTTGGTTCGTGCCTGGAGGGCCCAAGCCAGAGTTACCCCGGACTGGAGTTGCCTGATATAAGTCGGGCGTCCAATATCCAATTTGGTGTGTTCATACATCTAGTGTGATGTTCTGAGCTGCTTGATTTTGTCAGTCCCAGGGGCGTACGACCCCCCACCCCACCCCACCCCACACACTTCGCCATGACGGAAAGGAGTCTTGAGGGAACCGGGTCCTACAGCAGCCGCACCAGAGAAGGTATTGGTTTGCCAGCGGGTGCCCCACGGGGGATTATTAGATCCCGATGGGCGCATAGAGCATCGGGGCACCTTACGAGGCTCATGCAATGACCCTCGTAAGGTGTCTACTTCCTTCGTAGACTTAGTCGAGGGTCATACTATGACCCTCGACTAAGTCGACGAAGGATCTGTTCCCAGATGTCTTATAATGAGATGTCTCATGGCATGGGCCTACTGTTCTTAGACCCCGCGGATTCCTTCAGGACCAGCTCCTCGACCCGAGGGTGTTTTCCGGGCGTAGCCCGAATTTGTTGCCCGCAAGGTTAACTGACTTAACTGAATTGAACTGAACTGAACCGAACAGAACTAAATTGAACTGAACAGACTGGTCGTACCCCTTACGTGACGGCTTTATTCTCGGCCGCCAAGGGCGCAATTTATGGCGCAACCGATAAGAGACGGTTTATTCTCGGCCGCCGATGGCGCAATTTCTGGCGCAAGCGATCGGAGACGGCTTTACTCCGGGCCGCCGAGGGCGCAAGCTATGGCGCATCCGATAGGGGACGGTTTGATTCTCAGCCGCCAAGGGCGCAACTCATGAACCGATCGGAGACGGTTGTATTCTCAGCCGCCGAGGGCGCAACCTATGGCGCAACCGATAGGAAACCGAGCTGGAGCAGGATGAAGACGAGGACGACGAGGAGCATGAGGAGGAGGACGAGGAGGACGACGACGACGATCAGGAAGGGGAGGAGGACGGGGAGGAATACGAGTAGTACGAGGACGAAGTGCGGGCATTCGAATGCGTGCGGGGCTACGCCCGATTCATGCTCGCCGTTTGGGCTGGCGGTGGGACCGAAGCGGCGAGTTGCCTTGTGATTGCTTTGTTTTAGCAGCATATCGGCTCGCAGAGGCCCCCAGAGGCCGCCAAACTGGCGCCAAGATTCCCAGCGCCCATCTCCCAATCGACCCGTTTCCTTCGTGCTTGACCATTTGCTTGCGATATAGGAGGGCATCCCAAAAAGGGCCTCATTATCGAGGGTCCGAGGAGTTGTCACCCCTTCCGCGGCGGAAGGCGGCGCAAGTAAAAGATGCGCCCCCAAGGGGTGAAAACGTTTCTGGGTCTAGGGTTCCCGAGATCGCCCCTTTGTGGGCGCGCCTTGGGAAGGACCCCAAACCTATGTATTCGGCGTGTGCGCCGGCCCCTCCCCCCAGGGGCGACGTGCGCGTGCGCTCGGAGATCGTGCAGTGTGAAGGGGCCACAGGACACACAAATCAATACACACAAATAAAAGGATTCCTCATACTTTCCCCTATTTTCTGGGTTTTTGTCTTCCCCCCCACTTCCCATATTTTCCAATATTTTCAAGGGAATCGACGACGAATTGTGTCTGTGTGTTTTTTCCCTCCTGAACGTGTGTGCTCTGTCTGCGGGCGATGTCTGGCCATGCCGCCTGGGCAGCGGCCTGCCGTGAGATGCTGTGGTGCGCTGTCGCTTCGGGCGTGCCCCGTCCAGAAGGGGGGCGCACGGAGTGAGGTACTCTAGGATGTCGTGACGGATGGTCGGTGTTTCGGACGCTTTCGAAGAAGAAAACGCGCCATACACATCGATTGCTGGCGCTCCGCGCGGATTCCTTGGATCCGCGCTGCGGCCCCCCCCCCCCCCCTGGCCCCTGGCGGCGCCGTCGGCGCCGCCCCGCTGCGGGGCTCCGCGCGCCAGAGAGGGAGGCCCAGCGCAGATCCAAGACAGCCGCGGGGAGCTCCAAAAATACATGTTTATGGTGTTGATTCCCTTTCTACGCGTACTTCCAAGGGGGGCGAATAGTACTAGTATGTCCTGGCCTCGCTGAGGTCCCCGTCTTCACATTAGGGATGATTCATCTGGGCGGCTTGGCCAGGCGCAACTGCAGGAACGACCCCTTACCCCTAATGTGTCTGGCCCACCCAACTCATGTCCCCTGCCAAAGGGTTAGGGGTCCTTCCCTGGTTGATCAGACGAGGGGCGCCTATGATTAGAAAGTCCAGGGCCAGCTAGGGACTGGTTCCCTTTCGGAACAGCCGAAGCCCTCCCGCGACCCCCCGAAAACCCTACCGGAAGGGTTTCCAGAGGGTTTTGGAGGGGGGAGGAGAAGGAGGAGGAGGAGCAGGAGCAGGAGCAGGAGCAGGAGCAGGAGCAGGAGCAGGAGTAGGAGGGAGGAGGAGCAAGAGAAGAAGGAGGAGGGAGGAGGAGGAGGAGGGAGTAAGAGCAGGAGGAGGAAGGAGGAAGCGAAGGAGGAGGAGGAGGAGGAGGAGGAAGAGGAGGAGGAGGTCGAGGATGGCATTGGAGCCCCTGGCGAACCCTGGGATTTTTTCTAAGCCTATGACCGCCCTGCTGCGCCCCGCCCCGGAGGACAACCGCGAGCAGCTCCCGTGCGTGCCCGCCCGGCGCTCGGCACGGCGCGCGCCATTCTTTTTCTTGTCGGGCCTCTCCCCCTGCAGGCGGGATTTTCCAAAATCATCAAAACAAATCGCTGGGAACTTATTTTTGTATGTTTGTGCATGTCTTGACCATGTTGCTGTACTTGTTTTAACAATCTTTCCCTTTCCGCCCAAGATCCCCCTGGGAACTAAAAAGATACCCTGGGAACTTCTTCCTGTATTTCTTGTGTTTCCTCTTTCGCCCCAAAGATCCCCCTGTCGGAGGACGGGCCCGACTTCATTTTCTTGGGGTTTCCCCCTGCCGCCCCGACGCGGCGCCCCCGCACTCCGCTCTGGCGGGGGCGCGGCGGCACGGCCCCGGGCAGATCCCGGGCTGCCGCTCTCGAAGAGGAGGAAAACTTCTGGCGCTCCGCGCGGGTTTCTCGGATCCGCGCCTGGGCCCCTCCCGGCGGCGCCTCCGGCGCCGCCCCTGGCGCGCTCCGCGCGCCAGAGAGGCGGGGCCGAGCGCGAATCCCAGAAATCCGCGCAGAGCGCCTACAGTTTCTGTTTATGTGGTTTTTTCTTCCTCTGAGCTCCTGCCGTCGAAGGAGAAGATCTTGCATAGACATGAACTGTCAGGGCGAATGTCGATCCTTTAGATTCGATTCGCTTCGATTTCGAGGGCCTCCGATTCCGATTCGGTTCGACTTCGGGTTCCGATTTGGATTCCGATTCATCAACGGAGGCCCACTAGCCTGCCGATTTCTACCAATTCGACTTCTCCCGACTTGGCTGCCGATTCCCGCCGATCCGATTAATTTCGATCGCCGATCCGACTTGTCGATTCGATTCTGGGCTCTCCTGAACTTTCGGAGCTTCGCCTTCATTTTCTTTGATCCGGGGTTCGCTAAGGTCGGAGAAGGAACAACTGCATAAACATGAATTGTCGGCGCTCCGCGCGGATTTCTTGGATCCGCGCTGGGCCCCCCCGGCGGCGCCTCCGGCGCCGCCCCTGGTGCGCTTCGCGCGCCAGGGAGGACAAATTGCATAAGCATAATCGGCGGCGAGCGAGGGGGGAAGTGACAAGGAAAAGGTCTTCTCAGAAGGCGGCGCGACTTCCCAGAAGCCCTCGCGCCTTCTGAGAGGTTTTTCTATCTTCGGGGCAGGCTCATGAACTTCTCAGAAGGCCGGGGAACTTCCGAACCTTCTGCGAAGGCCTTCTCCTTCTCACTTCATCCCCTTCGCTCGCTGCAGAAAGGTCGGAGCTTCGCGCTCATTTCTTGGATCCGCGTCTGGCCCCCATGGCGGCGCCTCCAGCGCCGCCCCTGGCGCGCGGAGCGCCCCAGGGAGGAGGGTCCCAGAGCCGATCCAAGAAGTCCACGTGGAGCTCCGAAAGTTGACGTTTGTATAGTTGGTTCTGCATCTGTGACGGCGGTTCAGAGATGGGGTTCTGCGGGATGGGGCCCTGAGGATGGTAAGAACCCCCCAGGCTGAACCTTCATCCTTTGAGGCCAATCGCTCTCAGGGGCCCATCCCTCGTGGCCCCATCCTCGGGCCGCCGATCCTCAGAGGTCATGTTCCGCATCGGCGCCAGGCGTGTCCTCGGGTCTACTGCGGCCTGGCCCGGCGGAGTCCGGCCCGATCCGCGCCAGTCTGGCGCAGCAACGACGGTGTCCATTCTGGCGCAGCCCAGCTTGGTAGCCCCCCGAGATCGGGATGAGTAGCCCTTCCCGGGAGTTGTCTCCTTCACCAGAGATTGGAGCAATCAGTTCTGGCACGAGGAGGGATGAAGAGCGGGACGGGAGGGATGAGAGGAGTGAGGAGGAAGAGGAGAGAGGAGAGGGAGGCATTTGCAGTTGGAAAGGCGATGGAGCAGAGGGTGCAGAGGGAGGGCAGAGGGGTTGACAGATGAGATGGCGGAGAGGACGATGGGGATGGAGGGAAGCGAGAAGGAGGTCGAGGAAGGACAATTTACAACTTAGATCTATAGGGGAAGAGGGCGAGAGGGTGAGGTATGCAACAACAACCACAACCACAACAACATCAGCAACAGCAAGTCCATAGACGCGTGCCACTCAACACGTATATCCCAAACCCTCGATCGTACCCCCTTAGGTCTCTCTTACCCGCAACGTGTGTATTTCGTGCAGCCCCTAAGGCAGGGAAAGAGAGGACGGATGGAAGGAAGGGACAAGGGGGGAGGGAGGGGGGCTAGGAGCAGAAAACACGTGGCAGGACCAGACGGGCAGATCGGGCGGGTAGACCCGAACGGGCGGGTCGGGAAGGTGGGCCTAGACGGCCAGGTCGAGCAGGCGGGTTGCTAAAGCGTGCGTCTTGTATGGGTCGCGAGGAAGTCTCGAGCGATAGCGCGATTCCCCAATACATCTCGAAGAAGTCCACAGCGAGAGCGTGATTCCTGAGTGTCGAGGGCGTGGTGTCTGAATCAACTGCAGGGATGTCCCACGCGAAAAGCGTGACTCCTTCATTGAAATATGAAGAAGTCCCTCGCGAGAGCGCGATTCGGAATACTTTGTGGGGAATTAGCAGGCGGGAGCCGCTGTGGTTGTAAAACGGGGGCCAGGGGCACAGTTTGAGCAGGAATCTGTTCCCTGGTACAAGCACAGCGAGCCCTGGGAGGGGCACTTCAAGTCCAAAAAACATGTATATGACGCGAATGCGTGAGTCCTGCGTAATTCACTTGGAAGACTCGGGCGAGAGCGCGATTCCTGAATGGCGAGGGCGTGGCGCTTGAACAAATTGCGAGGAAGACGCAGGCGAGAGCGCGATTCTTGGATACATTACAATGGAGTCCCGAGCGAGAGCACGATTCCTCAGTAATTGCGAGGAGGTCTCCGGTGGGAGCCGTTGTTGTTGTAGTTCGGGGCCCAACAACGCAGTTTAAGGAGGAAGATTCTCCCTTGTCAAAAACAGGGTGCAAGCCCCAGGAGAGGCACTTCAATGGAACAATACATATGTTACCGGAGGGGGGGGATCAACACCAATTATTATTCAGTCGTGAGGGTTCAACAACAACAACAACCACAACAGCAACAACAACGACAACAACAACAACAACAATACGAACAAGAACAATGGCAAAAGCAGCAGCAACAACAACAGCAGTCGAGCACAGGATGTAATGGGAGGGGGAAGGATGGAGCACGGGATTAGCACGAGGGGGCTGGGAGCAAAAGACACTTGGTAGATCCGGACGGGCTGATCGGGCGGGTAGACTCTAACAGGCGGGTCGGGGAGGCGGGCCCAAGCAGCCAGGTCGAGCAGGCGGGTTGCTGAAGCGTGAGAACTGCATGAATCGCGAAGGCGTCTCGATCGATAGCGCGATTCCAAAAGCAATCGCGAGAAATCTCCAGCGCGAGAGCGCGGTTCCTGAGCGTCGAGGGCGCGGCGTCTGAATATCTTGTGAGGACGTCTCACGCGAGAGCGCGATTCCTGCATACATTGTTAGTAAGTCCCAAGCGAGAGCGCGATGTCGCAATGCACTGCGAAGAAGTATCCGGCGGGGGCAGTTGTTGTTGTTGTTGTTGTTGTTGTAATTCGGGGGCCAGGGGTCAAGTTCGGTGACACCCAGCTTTCCCTTGTCAGAAACAGGGTGCAAGCCCCAGGCGAGGAGGAATACTTGAATTGAAAACGCAATGGCCACAGAAGGAAGGGGAGATCAGCAATAATTCTTGTTTAGGAATGGGAATTCACAACAGCAACAACAACAGCACCAATAACAATAACAAAACACTTCACACTAACATGAACAGCACCAACAGCAGCAGCAACAGCAACAATCATGCCAAGACGTCTCGCTCCCATCTGCCCGCGTGTCAACCCATACGCATTTCTCAAACCTCCGATACCCGCCATCTTCGTCTTCGATCGTACCCCCTCTGGGGCATATCTTCTTTATTTGCCACGCGTGTTTAGCGCAGCCTCTGAAACAGGGGACGAGAGGACGGATGGAACGGAGAGGGAAAAGGATTGAGCACGAGAGAGGTTAGCAGGAGGGGGGGGCTAGAAGGAGACAATTATTGGCAGAACCAGACGGGTAGATCGGGTGGGTAGACCCTATCAGGCGGGTCGGGAAGACGGGTCAAGGCGGCGAGGTCGAGCAGGCGGGTTGCAAAAGCGTGGGAGTTGCATGAACCGCGAGATGTCTAGCGATAGCGCGGATTCCCGAGTAAATCGTGAGATGGCCAAGACGATAGCGCGTTGAAAGTCGACTGCGCGGCGTGTGAAGACATTGCGGCGAAATCCATCGCGAGAGAGCGACTCCTGCCAAAATTGCGGGGGGGTCCCACGCGAGAGCGCGATTTCTCAATACGTTGTGTGGAAGTATCAGGCGGGATCCGTTGTTGTTGCAATTCGGGGGCCAGGGGGCCAGTTTGGTGACACCCATTGTTCATTTGTAAAAACAATACGCGGACCCATGGAGGCGCACTGTCGTTGAAAAACACAATGGTCACTCGAGGAGGGTGGTCAACAATCATTACTCCTAGAATCGAAACAAAAAAAAACAACACCTGCATCAACAGCCCGCCGCACACATAAGATAGGGATCGGGGATGCGTGCGAAAATGGGAAGGAGGATAATGCGGCATCGAAACGAGAGGAACAGGCGCTCGTGCTATATATACAGGGGGGGAGGAGCAGCTGGCATGGAGGAAGGAGAGAAGGAAAGAGAGACAACAAACATCGAGTTAGGGAATTGGGGGGGCATGATGGGAGGAGAAGAACATGGGAGGAAGGGGGAAGAGCTGAGCGGAGAGAAACGAGCACAGCCACACATCCGCTCTGTCTCCGGCCATCCCCCCCCCGCCGCCACGGGCTGCCTGCACGGCTGGCACGGACTGCTGGACCCGACGAAGAGGAGACTGCACAAGCATGAATGTTCGGAGGTCCGCGCGGTCCTCTTGAAGGTGTTTTGGATGGACACCCCTCCCTGGCACGCGGAGCCCGCCAGGGGCTCCAGAGCCGATCCAAAAGCCTGCGGTTGTTTCCCGACCCTCTTTGGTTGGGTATTCGTTTTGAATAAAGCATTGCGGTCGCGTCTTCCCCTCCTCCTCCTGCCTCCCGCCTTGTGCGTACCTCGTGTGTGTGCATCTTGCCTGCGGTACCTCTTGTGTGTGCATCTTGCCTTGGGGCTGCGATCTGCGAAACTGTGGCCTGTTTCGAGGGCTGCTGGGGGGGACAGCATAGTGGGCAGCCGCCGCAGATCCAAATGTGACCTCGCGACTTGCGAAACGGTCGCCACTTTCGAGGGCTGCTTGGGGGGCAGCGCTCTGGGTAGCCGCCGCAGATCCAAAGTTGACCTCGCCATCCCTGGGGGGGGGGATTTGCGAAACGGTCGCCACATTCGAGGGCTGCTTGTGGGGCAGCATCGTGGGTAGCCGCCGCAGATCCAACATTTATCTCGCCATCCTTGGGGGGGGGCGATTTGCGAAACGGCCGCCACTTTCGAGGGCTGCTTAGGGGGGCCAACATAATGGGTAGCCACCGCAGATCCAACGTGGACCTCGCCACCCCTGGGGGGCTGTGATTTGCGAAACGGTCGCCGCTTTCGACGGCTGCTTGGGGAGCCAGCATCGTGGGCAGCCGCCGCAGATCCGAACTAGACCTCGCCATCCCTGGGAGGGGGGGGCTGAGATTTGCGAAACGGCGCTACTTTCGAGGGCTTCTTGGGGGGCAGCAAAGTGGGTGGTAGCCGCCGCAGATCAAAGGTAGACCTCGCCAACCCTGGGGGGCTGCGATCTGCGAAACTGTGGCCTGTTTCGATGGCTGCTCAGGGGGCCAGCATAGTGGGCAGCCGCCGCAGATCCAAATGTGACCTCGCCATCCTTGAGGGGGCGCTGCGATTTGCGAAACGGTCGCCACTTTCGAGAGCTGCTTGGGTAGCCGTCGCAGATCCAAAGTTGACCTCGCCATCCCTGTGGGGGTGGGGCTGCGATTTGCGAAAAGTCGCTACTTTCGAGGGCTGCTTGGGGGGCCAGCTATATTGGGTAGCCGCCGCAGATCCAAATTGGACCTCGCCATCCCTGGGGTGGGGGGCTGCGATTTGCGAAACGGTCGCCAATTTCGAGGGCTGCTTGGGGGGCCGGCATAGCGATCTGCGAAACTGTCGCCGCTTTCGATGGCTGCTGGTGGGTCCAGCGCAGTGAGGCACCGCGCAGATCTGAGCGAGACCTCGCCGTCCCTGGGGGCTGCGATCTGCGAAGCCGTCGCCACTTTCAAGGGCTGCTGGTGGGTCCAGCGGAATGAGGCACCGCGCACATCTGAGCGGGACCTCGCATGTCCTCGGGGTGCTGCAATCTGTGAAACCGTCGCTACTTTCGAAGGCTGGTGGCGGGCCCAGCGGAGTGAGGCGCCACGCAGATCTGAGCGGGACCTCGCAATCCATGGGGGACTGCGAGCCTCACGAATGCCGCTCGCAGGTGTATGTGCGCCCATGTCATGTCATCACCTCCGCAGAGTGTCCCGCGTTGCGCAGGGGTTGGGTACGTCGCCAGGGTAATGTTCGGAGGACGCCGAATGCAGGCACCCGTCGCGGTTTCTCTAGCGGCCCTGGAGGCCAAGACCGGGCGGCCGAGAGCACAGGAGAACAGAGGAGGAGGAGGAGGAAACGAGGAGGAGGAGGAGGTGGAGGACGTGACGGGGAGTGGGGGAGGAGACGTGAGGGCAGAGGCGGAGGAACGATTGCGAGGGAGGAGGGTAACGCAGATGTGAGAGGATGCAGAAGGATGCAGGAGGAGGCAGGATGAGGAGGTGGAGGAGGAAGGCACAGGGGGGATACGGTCGGCAACTGTTGGATAGCGTGTTGCTCCGCCTGTTCTGGACCACCACGCTTCGGCGCGACACGCGATCCACGACCCCAGTTCGAAGCACCCGCGTCTCGAGGTCTTCGGAGACCTCCGCCCCGCGGAGCTGAGCGACACGCTATCCGCCTGCTCACTAGCAAGGAGTATCTCGTGTCGACGGGGCCGCCAGCGAGACACGCTGAGCAAAACATCATGACCGTCACGAGGAGGAGACCGAGGAGGACGAGGGCGAGGACGAGGAGGAGGAGGAGGAGGAGACCGAGGAGGACGAGGGCGAGGAAGAGGAGGAGGAGGAGGAGGAGGAGGAGGAGGAGGAGGAGGAGGAGGGGGACATGGAGGAGGAGCTGGAGCTGGATCTGGGGGAAGAGGGGTAGGAGGAAGGGTGATCATGAGGAGGGAGGACGAGAAGGAGGGATGAGGAAGGATGTCGATGACGATGATGATGATGATGAGGAGGAGGAGGAGGAAAGACGAGGGAGGAGGATGGAGCCGGTGGTCAAAGGGGCAGGAGGAGGCGACAGGAGGAAAGGAGTTGATGGGGGAGAATGGAGGGGGAGAGGGAGGGGGAGTGGCCATGAGGAGAAGGAGTGGGAGTAGCCATGAGGAGGAGGAGGAAGAGGAGGAGGAGAAGAAGGAGGAGGAGGTGGAGGAGGAGGAGGAGGTGGACGGGGAGGGAAAAAGAGGGGAAGATGGAGGACGAAGAGGTGGAGCCGAGGCCTCCAAGAAGCTGGTGATCCCGATCCGGTTCGTGGTGTGCTATCCCCCAGCGCCTGTTGGCGTGCCGCCGCCACGCCCCCGCAGGACAACCCATGGGAAGGTGCCCGGGAATTCGCGTTTCTCTGAAACGCGGGCCACTGACAATGCGTTTTTTATTAGACTCAACGTTGGTGTTCAGTTCGCAGCGAGCTGCTAGCACAGGCCTTTGTGGCGACTTTGAGGCAGATGGCTGCGCAGGTGGGGAGGAGGTGCTGCGATTCCACCCATCCCGCCTGCGCTAAAGTGTGCGCGCAGCTACAGTCAATGCGCACAGTCAGGATGGGCAGCCTTCCCAAGGATACCTTGCATCCTTGCCTTCTCGGCCCATCCGTGGCCACTTTCGCTGGCCGCGCCCCGCTCGAAAAGCTTCGAGATGGGCGTCCAAGGCCCTTGCATCCTTATCGCGCATCCTTACTATACGGGTTCACTGTATTATGCCAACTTGGCGTTCGTTCCTTCGAACTGGTCCTGGAGACCCCCCTCTCGCCATAGAACAGCCGCGGAGACGCCCCTGTCGTCATGGAGGATCGCTGCGATCGGGGCGTCGCATGTTTTGCCGCGCCGGCGTCTTCGCCCAGTTCCGGGCCTCGGGGCCATCGCAGACCGATGCGGCTCGAGAAGTGCAAGGGACAGATCGGGTTCGGGGCTCCGGTTGCGATGTCTCGCGGTGGTGCCAGCGTAGATGGCCCGCCCGATCCGGAGGCGGCCAAGCGACGTTGCCCCCCATCCGGAATCGGTGGGGCGACGTTGGCCCCAATTGTCTCCCAATGTCTATACATCGTCATCTCTATCTTTATCTCTATCTCTATTCCCATCCCTCTATGTGCATCCCTACCCTTGTGATGTTCCAACCTACTTTAGCCTTGATCGCCAGGGCGCCAAGAAAGTACCGAAACTGGAGGGTCTTCACGTGTCGTTCCCTAGGAGGCGATACTCGCTCGACACTGTTTCGATACATTTTTCTGGGTGCTCGACATTAGTTCTGGGATGTGGTCCTTAAGTACGATGGGAACAACATGACTCTACCCCCAGTCCTATATCCCTACCTTACATCTCTGCCACCATCCCCATCCCTATCCTGGTCTCTATTCCTATTTGATTGTAGATTCCGATCTCTCTTTTTCCGAGCGTTGTTTACATCTATTCACATAAATGATTGACATTCCCGTCCCGACGATTATCCCTATCCCGAAGCCCCTATCCCTGTATCCCTAGCTTCTATCTCTATCCCTCTTCCACTATCCCTGTCCTCCTCATCCTCTTCTCGCCTCCTCCACTCCTTCGTCACCGCAGTGATCCGTAGGCTTTTCGGCTGCCTGGCGACTATACCATAGCATGTTTTGCTGTGGTAATTCTAGGTGCGTCCGTCTATAACCATTACGCTCCGCCACACAACAAATGTTTAGAGGCTTCTGCCGCAGAGGTTGTCATTTTCGCAGCGTCGGATCTTAGGTTTGTCACCTGCGGCTTCGTGGGGAGTCCCTTGGCAGGCCGTCAGCAGGACGGCCCGGGACAAACCGCTGGACCTGGGGTCGAGATCGCGAGGAGTCCGCGAGGCCTCCCGGGGTGTCCACGGTGGCCAGACAGGACAGCCAAGACGCCGGAGCAAGGACGACTTCGGGCTCAGCAGGGACTCTAGTTTCCGGGCCGTTCCTCAAATCTAGGTCGGAGAACCGAGGAACTCCCTCTGAGCCTCGGCAAGAACATTAAAACCAGCATCTGCGAAGCCAGCGCCCTCGGCTAGGCAGGTCCAAAGGAGGAGGAGGAGGAGGAGGAGGAGGAGGAGGAGGAGGAGGAGGGGGAGGAGGAGGAGGGGGAGGAGGAGGAGGAGGAGGAGGAGGGGGGGGAGGAGGAGGGAGGAGGAGGAGGAGGAGGGAGGAGGAGGAGGAGGAGGAGGAGGAGGAGGAGGAGGAGGAGGAAGAAGAAAAAAACGGCGAGTAGACGCCAACGTGCAGGAGGAGAGGGGGAGAAGCAAAGGCAACAGCAGGCCGAGGCCTGTGTTCGGTGGCGAGCCTTGCCGTGGCCAGGGAGGCCCGCTCGTTCCCCACTCCGCGCCCCCCCCCCACGGTGCAGTCGAGGCGCTGAACGAAGGACCGCTTGGGGCTCGGGGAGGGGCTTTGGGTCTTCGGGCCGCGCCCTGGGATTCGTGCCGTGGAGCCTGCTTGGCGGCCTGGGCCCGCCGTGGCCAGCAGAGCCCCTCCGTTCCCAATGTCGCGCTCCGTGTGGCAGCGCAAGGACTGCCGGCAGAGCCCCCTCGTTCCTGGTTTTGTGTCCCGCGTGGCAGCGCAAGGACTGCATAGCGACGCCGCGATGGTGCTTACGGCCCCAGCGACTTGGAGCTCCCGGCCCCCCCGCCCGCGGGACGGGTGTGGCCGTCGGCACTGCGCGCGCGCCGCCGCTGAAGGTGTCGGCAGAGGGGGACGATCAGAGGAGGATCAGAGGAGGGCCAGTCGAGACAACGACGGCCCTCCTCCGGCCTTCCAACCTCACAATCCTTCCCTTTTCCCCCCTCTCTCATCCTACCCTCTCTCCCCCTCCTCCGCCGATGGCTCAGCCGGCCCGTTTCCGAGAGGAGGAGGTTTCTTCCTGGTCCGCCTTCTCCAGTCTGCGCGTCTTCGTCATCGACTCGGTTCACGACGATAGCTCGTGTTCGCGTCTCGGCTCGCAACGTTTGAATACTCTCGCGGGCCACTCCTGCCGGCAGCCGGAGCCCGAAAACGAAGTTGTGCCCTCCAGGTCTGGCGGTCTCCAGCGTCACCCTGGGCTTCCGAGGGCTTCTCCCTTTCGCCTCCCTCCGCCCACCTCGCTCGCTCTCGAGTCCGTGGGGCGCCACCGCCAGCCGCCCCTCCTCCTGCTCCTCCTGCTCCTGCGCCTGCTCTCCTCCTCCTCCTCCTCCTCCTTCTCAATATTCTCCTCCATCAGTTCGATGCTGCAGATCCAGGGTGTGAAGCGCAAATACGGCCGTGCCCCAGCAGCGTACATGGAGAGAGAGATTCAACAATTCCTCGAGACGTTGCTGAAATAAAGGTGGACAAATCTACATATGATGATCGATCGACCACAGCATTGGACGTTACAACTACGAGTCCTGAATGCGAAACTCTGGATGATGATCTACAGGCTCTTCATCTACCAGATGATACTCCACCCTGGACCCAGGCACAGCGCTTGAGTTTCTTGCGAGGGGAGGATAAGAAGGAGTCGTCTGCTACTGCTGCCGATGTTCCTCCACCTCCTCGACCAGAACTGAAATCGTCTGAGGCCCCCGTTTTATATGTTTCCCAGCCTCCTCCTCTTCCTCCTCCTCCCGTCCGACCCTCGGATGCCCATATAATCACGGAGTATCTAGCCTCGTGCGGGGTGTTCCCAGGGACCGCCAAATTCGAGACACTTTTCAATAGTAGGCATATACTGAGCATAGCTAAATCACGAGCTACCTCTTAGTTGCCCTGGTCCCTCGTGGCTACCTCATGCGTCGGTGGCTGCATGGGGCCAGGCTGGTCTCTCTCGGGACCTCAGCCACGGCCCTAGGTGCATAGAGCATGGCATATGCACTCTCCTCTTAAAGCTAGAGGTTCACCGTGCCAGTAGCCATTCGCAGTTGTGCGAAATATCACGATTGGCGATTGCGCGATTTTGAACAATAGCTCGAGTATGTAATCACTCACTATGATCGAAACAAGGTTGGCGCCGAAGGTGTGCGAATCGAATCGAATCTCCCTCCTCCTCCTCCTCCGCCTCCGCCTCCGCCTCCTCCTCCTCCTCTCCCTGCTGCTCGTCCGCCTCCTGATGGAGCCACACGGTACCTCCCCCAGCGTGCGGTCCTCCGGCCTGCGCGGCCCCGGGTCCCGCAGTCGCACGCCCCTCGCCACGAGCGGTCTTGCCCCCCTGGCGCGCACGTCGCCTGACGCGGTGGGGTCTCTCGGGTCTGGCTCGCCAGCTGCCGCCGCCGCCGCTCCGACGCGCCCTCCGACCGTCTGGAGGAGGGAGGAAGGGAGGAGGAGGAGGAGGAGGAGGAGGAGGAGGAGGAGGAGAGGAGGAGGAGGAGGAGGAGAGGAGGAGGGGAGGAGGAGGAGGAGGGAGGGGAGGGAGGGAGGGAGAGGGAGGGAGGGAGGGAGGGAGGAGGAGGGAGGGAGGGAGGGAGGAGGAGGAGGGAGGGAGGAGCAGTAGGAGGAGGAGGAGGAGGAGGGAGTGAGGAGGAGGAGGGAGGAGGAGGCGGGAGGGAGGAGGCGGGAGGGAGGACGAGGAGGGAGGGGGGGGGAGGGAGGGAGGAACCCTGGGGACGGACGGCGGGCCCACGAGAAGCTTGGGCGAGGAGGGAGGGAGCGGAGGGCGAAAGGAGGAGGGAGGAGGACGAGGAGGACGAGGAGGACCACGAGAGGAGGACGAGGGGGACCACGAGAGGGAGGAGGACGAGGAGGACGAGGGGGACCCTTCTCGTGGTCGTCCTCCTCCTCCTGCCGCCTCCTTTCGCTCCGCCGCCCCTCTTCCTCCTTCCGTCCTCGTCCTCGTCCTCGTGCTCGTCCTCCTCCCGGCCTCCTTCCTCCCTCCGTCCTCGTTCTCGGTGCTCCGTCCGTCCTCCTTCCTCGCTCGTCTCTCCTCCCTCGCCGCCGCGGTCTTCGTGCCGCCGCCGAGGCTGCGTTCTCTGCTGGGGGGCCTGGGGGGCGTCGTTTCGTCTCCTGCCGAGCTCTCCCGGAGGCTCCGCGGAAGCATGGCTGATCCGTCTGGGGCTGGGCTGATTTGGTTGACCCACGTAACGACTGGCTTCATAGGCAGGCGAGCGGTTGCCACGCCAGGCTAGATGATTTGCACCCCCCTCTCGCGTGCCCCCCCTTCGAACCTCCTCGCCTCTCATCCAGCCCCCATCGGAGATGCTCCCCCGCAGTCCTCGCCTCTGCCGTGTGCCGAGCTCCACGTGCCGCCCTCTCCCGCGCGGGATCCCAGACCTGTTGAGGGATGCCAGTGTGTGTGTGGGCGTGCGCAAGAGAGGCTCCGTCAGGGGGCGTGCCTCGAATTCTGGCACTGGACAGCGCGACGTACACATGCACAGACATACTCGCACACACACACACATTCGCACACACACACATACACATACACACACACACGCTTACACTTACACGTACACTTACACTTACACTTACATTTACACTCTCTCACACACACGCGCGCGCATTTTGGACGCGCTTGTTGTCTAACCCCTCAGGGGGGTCTGCGGCCACGACCACTCCAGGCGTGGACGACACCATGATCGAGGACCAGGTCTCTTGGATGACCTACTCGTACCGAGGCCGGCAGTTGCCCGCAGAGGAGCCCCTTGAGCACAGCATGTACGGCGAAGACATGCAGATGGAGTTCGAGCTCGCCAGGCAGCCCAACGGAGCTCCTCCTTCTCCTCCTCCTCCGGAGCGCGGCACGCTGAGCGGAGCGCGGCACGGAACGCTGAAATTGTTGTGCCACGCACTGCGGCCAGATCTGATGGCTTCGACTGCCGTTGATCGTAGCTTTCTCTGGAACTGTTTCGCTGCAGGTTGCGCGGATCCAACAGCACACCATGCATGCCAAAGTGTCTCTGTATCCCCGGTTCGTGTGATAAGTAAATTGGTGGCCCACGTATGCTCCACTGGTCTGGAAGAAAGCAAGGAGCGCGTTAGCGAAGCAACGCTCGACGACTTCTATGGTTATCCGGCGAAGAAAAGATCGACGGTGAATTCCAAGACAATTCCACTTCTCTCCTCTTGTATCCTTCTAAGAAAGATCACGCCATAAACATAAAATGCTGGCGCTCCGCGCGGAGTTCTCGGATCCGCGCTGGGGACCCCTTGAGGCGCCTCCAGCGCCGCCCTTGGCGCGCTCCGCTTGCCATGGAGCGAGGTCCAGCGTAGATCCAAGAGATCCGCGCGGAGCGCCGAAGCTTTCTGTTAATGGCGTTTGTTCTTCTTTAGGAGCGGCCGCGAACTACGTGCACGACCCCGATTGTGCTCAGTGGGCTTTCTACGACACCGACCTGGCAGCGAAGTACAACACAGTCAGTCCCGAGCGGTACTTCACGGTGGTCGTGATATCCGATGACGCATCAGGAGGGCGATGGTTGGGAGCCAGAGGGATGGGACAGGAGGGACGATGTGGAGCGGGTAGGATTGAGGAGCAGGAGCAGGAGGACAGGGGACGCGGGTGCAGAAGGAGGAACAGGGAGCACAGGGGACGGCGTTGGGAGCTCGGATGGCAGCGAGAGCGAAGAGACGGGGCGAGCACAAGCCACATCCCTGACTGGGATGTTGCAGTGCAGACAGCACAGAGGCTCGACGACTGGTATTCGGAGCATCGCTGCGTCGGCCAGCACATGTTGGAGACGAGGCGCGTCAATCTGGAAAAGAACAAGCCCCTCCCCCCCAAAGATGAAAAGACAGTTGGGAAGGATGACCTGCTAAACAACATTTGGCCAGAGTTGGCGGGAAATCAGCATTGTCAACATCTACGCGGATGGAAGGCGATCAGTTTTTTCAAAATCACAGTTTTCCCCGAACCGTTTCACAATTCGTGGTATAAAGTTCGGGCGTTCCGTTAGTTGCATGGCGGGGAGCGGGGTGTAAGCAGCACAGGTTACACGTTTCAGTATGATGCATGGTCTACCCAGGCGGCAAACGTGCGGAACAGCTATGAGGATGGCAGGCGACCCGTCTGGCGAAGCCGAGACCTGTCTCTTGATTCCCCTGCGACGTACGAGCCTGAGACCTGATATCCCCAACAAAGGTATAGATGCGGCAGACGTCGTTTTCAACAGCGATTGATCGCCCTGGCGCCAGTTGTGTTGTAAGGATCCATAACTATACGGGAGGTTTTCTGGTGTCTTCGGCCTCTGCCCCCCCCCCAGGCCTTGAGGCCGTTCAATGACGGCTCGGTGCGAAAATTTGCTCCGGTGAAATGGTCAGGACCTCGCGCACCCCGCCTTTCAAAATATTAACCTAAGAAAGCCCAATCAGTGGATGATGTGAAAATTGATACTATGGATCTTGAGATCGATGGTGAGATCGATAATGAGATGGATAGTATAATCGATAGTGAGGACGAGTAAGGTCGATCGTTAGACCGAGTGTTAAATCGATTCCATTAGAATTGATTGGGAAAAGATGTCGCACGTCTGGCTCTCGAACGCATTGGGGCTCAGGCGCCTCAGTGCCAGGCGGCCGGATCTTGTCGTGCTCGGTGCAGCCCGTTCGAGCACGCAGGGTTTCAGCCTTCCCAGGGCCCTACACCTGGGCCAGGGCAACCATCTGACGGGGCTGGGACGAGCAAAATCCGTTCCGGAGCCCTTCCGGAACGCTCTCAGAGCGTTCCGGAACGCTCTGAGAAGGTCACGGCGCCCGAGACGTTTTCCAGGGCCCCTGGATCTCAGCTTTATCCCCACTCGATTTGATCGTCGTCCTGGCTTCGTCTTACCCCACTCCTGTGCCAGGGCCATCGGGCTCCTGGGTCACCCGCCGGGGAGCGCGAAGACAGTCGCGCGCCTCGTGCCTCGCGGCCCGAGCTGCAGAGGCGCCCGCCTCCGGGGCGGCGGCACAAGGGCGGAGAGTCCACCGCGCGTTGCGCATCGCGGGGCCCCGTGCAGCCCCTAGGCCTAGTGCTTATGGCCCTCCTAACCGAAGACCCCTCCCATGGGGCTAGGGGTAGGCATGGAAGTCTTCCGCGTCTGAGTGCCCTCTGCCTCCTCCCGTCTCCCGCGGCCGCCCTGTCGTTCTTGTCCCTCGCCTCCTGCGCGCTTGCCAATTCGCGTTTCGGTCGCTCCGAGCGCTCGCCGCTGGTGCTTCTGCCTGGCCGCCGACGAAAAAAGTACGTGCTGGGGCAGCTCAGCCGATCCACACAGACGCGTGCCCGGGCGGGGCGCGTTCTGGCCCGCCTCCCCGTCGCCCCCCCCCCCCCCCACCCTGCGCCTCCCCGTCGCCCCCCCACCAGCCCAGCAGCAGAGCGCGGGCGGGGTGGTCGTGCGCCGGGCGCGGCGGCGGGCCGCGAGAGGGCCGAGGCGGGAGGAGGGAGGCCGCGGAGGACGGACCGCTGATCCTCAGGACGGTGGTTCTCTGGGCCGCCGAGATGGGGTCGGAGTGGATGGGGTCGGAGGATCGCTCCGCATCGCCAACACATCGGCGATGCGGCTCGATGTGGAGCCCGATGTGTTTCACGCCGACGTCGCCGATGCATCGCCCACGTCGACGACGCATCGCCAGTGCAACGCCAATGCATCGCCGATGCATCGACGATGTGTCGGCGATGCGGCGCGATCCTCCGACCCCATTTACTCGGACCCGATTTAGGTGGGCTTCAGGTCACCCAACGTTTAAGTCAGCATGTCCCTCAACAGGAGGAATGCACAAGAGTAGTTGTTTAAAGTAGTATGGTGATGATGTCTCGTGGTTGTTTTGGTTATGTACAGATTGTGGTTCGACTGCTTTGTATAGTTCTTCCAAAACCCGCCTGTAGGGGGACATGCCCGATCTGACCCAACGTGTAACTCCCCCGCCGTTCAGCGCCGCCGATGCCACGCAGCCTGTGTCGGCCCGCGTTGCGCCGCCTGCGTCGTAGAACGGGGCCTCGTTGGACAGTTCACACGCTGGCGCCAACGCACCCTCGGAGGATCATCGAGCGGGGAGGAGGGCCGTTCCAGCTTCCGTGCTGCGGGGCGTCGTGCTCGAACACCTGTGGCCCTGGCGGCTTCGTGCGAAGTCGCGCTCCCAGGAGCGGCGCAGAGCAGCCAGCAAAAGCTCTGCGTCTGCGTTCTTGGCTCTGCCGCGTATAGCGACTTGGAGGGAGCGATTCGGGCCGAACGAAGGGGGGGGATAGGGAACGGGTGGTTACGAAATCTGCTGCATGACATGCCGCTGGTTTCGGCCCCGCCGCTGGGCCCATTCCTCGATACATGGGTGCCTCCCGGCGCCTCCCGGCGCCGGGAAAATCAGCTACGTGAGCTGTTTCTGAACCCCGCCTTTGCTATCCCCTCCGTTCGCCCGGCCCGAGCGATGAGGGCGACGAGGGCGGGGATCCGTGGCGCGAGCGCGGAAGGGGGGAAGGCAAGGGGGGCCCGCTTTCCCAGAAGGCGGGGCAGAAGAACACTGCAGCAGTATAAATCAGGGGCAGCGACAGGTGGGGATAGGCAAAGGGGAAGACGCAAGGGCCCCCAATCGCCCGTGGATCGCCGAAAGGAGCCTGGCAGAGCCCCAACCTGCCCAGGAAGGTGCAGACTCCACTATCGGGGGCCTCTCGCCGATCTATCGGCGATGTGTCGCCGAGTCCAGGTCGATGCTTCCCCCCCTACGTATGCCTATCACCCCCTTTATCGCTGCCCCTCAGTAAGCTTTCGAGGCTCTGGGTGGATCTCCTGAATCCGCGCTGGGGAACCCCCTGGCGGCGCCTCCGGCGGCGCTCCTGGCGCGCGCTCCGCGCCCCAGGGAGGGGGGCCCAGCGCACGCTCACGGAATCCGCGCGGACTTCCAGAGGTCTGTGCTTATGCCGTTGACGCTTCCTCCACCAGGCTTCCGAGAAGTCCCGGCGCCTTCTGAGGAGGCCAGCGCTTTCTTCCCAGGCCCCCGGCGTCGTGATTTTTTCGTGGCGCGACCCCCAGAGGTCCGAACCCATTCCCAGGGACAAGTTTTTCGTCTTGGGTCGTTTTGCAACGGTCCCGAGGCCCGGTAAGGGCCCCCCGGAGGTCGAGAATTATGACAAGTTTCCTGTTGTGATTGTTTCACAGGGGGTCTCGGAGATCGAGGATCGCGGGTCGAAGAGGTTCGTGGATCGGGGGGGTTCGAGGAGGTCGGAGGATCGAGCCTAGGGGATTGAGCGGAAGGGGCGTAGAGTAGAGAGAGTCCTTGTCCTGGGACGGCACAAGAGTGCCACAGAGGAGTAGCTGCGCCGTGCCCTGCTCGTGCCGCCCACCAGCCAGCTCGCGCTCTCCAAGGGGGCGCGCGCGGGTGCCCGCTCGTGTTAAGTCGGGTCCGTCCCTCTACAGGAGGAACATTCAAACATAGTTGTTAAAACATATGGTTTGAGTACTTGTTTAATGTTTTGCGTATGTCTTATGGTTTGGCGCATTTTGTTGCGTAGCTTTTAGTTTGCGTCGAACATCCCCCTGTAGGGGGACACGCCCGACTGAACGCTCGTGCCTCAGCGCAGGAGGGTCTGGGTTCCCCCGCCCCCCCTGGCTGCCGCCGCCGAGGGCGGCTGCGCGGCGGAGGGGGTTTGGAGGGCGCGCGCCAGGAATCCTCGGCCTGGCGACGCTCCCGCAGGCGGTCCAGGAGACAGGGGGGGGGGCATATGGACGCCCTCCTTCTCCTCCTCCTCCTCCTCCTCCGCCTCCTCCTCCTCCTCCTCTCCCTCCTCCTCCTCCTCCTCCTCCTCCTCCTCCTCCTCATCATCATCATCATCATTATCATCATCATCATCATCATCATCATCCCCCTCCTCGTCCTCCTCCTTCTCCTCCTCCTTCTCCTCCTCATCCGCTCGTTTTCCTTACAAATAGCTTCTGCCTGTCGCACCCCGAGGCCAGCTTTTAGGGCAGGCCGGGCGTTTCGCACAAGACTTTCTCACAATCTATGACCCTAAAGCTTAACAATTGGCCACAGCTCTACAGATGGAGGGCGGGTCGTTTTCAAAACGTAGCTCTCACCTTAGCGCCGCGCACATTCCTTTTCACACACTTGCAGGAATTTCACAGATTGAGGGCGACCCGATTTCAAAATGTGGTTATTGTCTTAGCGCCGCGCGCATTCGTTTACAACAGCTGCAAGAGCTTCACGGACTGAGGGCGTTTTTTTCTCAAAATGTGTTTCTCGCTTTAGCGCCACGCGAATTCGTTAAAGCAAGTTGAAAGAGTTTCACATATTGAGGGCGGGTCGTGTTCAAAATGGTGCTCTCGCCTTCGCGCCACGCACATTCGTTTTCAAAAATACAACAGCTTCACGGATTAAGGGCGGCGGCTCTTTATCAAAATGTGTTTCTTGCCTCAGCGCCGCGCACATTCGTTGTTTAATGTTGCAAGAGCTGAGTGGCTTCTCATGATCAGCGTTACAGGAATTGCGTTTTAGAATAGTTCAGGGTAATAAGAGCGCAACGATTTTTTTGATTCGAGGTGTTGAAGTCCCGGGAATGGCGTTCTGGCACGGTTCTGGATCGTCACGATGCAACAGTTTGGTTGATCCGTGGCGTTGTAATCCCGAGAACAATGGTTTGGAATGTTTCAGGGGCTTCAAGCGGTTGCTTTCCAACAAAGTAGCCTCGTCAGTGAAAAGGAACCGTTCTAGGAGCATATGAAGAAGGAGCCTGGATGGATGGTTGATTCCATTATCGTTGATGACTCTTGGGTTGACACTGGTCCTTCGCCTCCTCCTCCTCCTCCACCTCCGCCTCCTCCGCCTCCTCCTCCTCCTTCTTCTCCTCCTCCTTCTCCTCCTCCTCGTCCTCCTCCTCCTCCTCCTCCTCCTCCTCCCCCCCCCTCTCCTCTTCTACCGTTCGAAGAAAAGGAACGGCATGACCATAAATTTTTGGCGCTCCGCGCAGATCTCTTGGATCCGCGCTAGGCTCCGCCGGCGGCGCCTCCGGCGCCGCCCCTGGCGCGTTCCGCGCGCCAGGGAGGGTTGGCCCAGCGCAGATCCAAGAAGAGTTCATGCTCACGCCATTTTTTCCTTCTCCTATAATCCTCCTGTACGGGCCGCTTGCCATCAGGGTGGCCCCTCGTTTGGCGGCGAGCCAAAGGGAGGGCAGCGCCTGCCGAGAGACCGCCTGCGGCTCTGGAGGAGAAGCCCCGCCGCCGCGGCCGGCCTCGGCGGCGCCGCGGTGGCGGGCGGCGTGTCCAGCCTGAGAGCCCGCCCACCCACACCGAGCACCTGGACGGGGAGTTTCGCAAACGCAGAACTTTGCTCCCATGAGCATGAATTTGTTGGATAGCCGCACGTCATTCAGTGGATCGGCGCTGGAAACCCTTCCCAGGCTTGCGGAGCGCGCCAGAGGCAGCGCCAGAGGTGGCGCCAGAGGCGCCGCAGGGGGGCCCATCGCCGACCGAAGAAATCCGCGCGGACCGTCGAGAGTGCATGGGGTGTGCTGTTTTTTTCATCCCCCAGGGTTGTGAGCACCGAGGGGTCTGGGGCGGTCTCGCACGCATGTCAGGTTGTCAGCCGAGAGCCTCGCCAGAGCAGCAGAGCAATAAATAAACTGAGAGTCGAGGAGGTCAACATAATACAATGGGGGAAGCGCCGCCCGAGCAGCACCTGACCTCGCGTCAAGCTGCTTGCTGAGGCAAACCCGCCGCCACAATGGATCCTAGACGTTTGCCTTCAAGCTGCCTCGCCCGGGTTGTCAGGGCCCTCCTGTGTGCGTCAAAGATGCAGACCTTCCCCCCGTGGCTGACAGTTCCAGAGTTGCGTATCGAACAATCCTTACAGGCCCACCTCCGCACTCCTCCCCTCCCCCCCTCCCCAGCCCCCTCCTTCTCCTCCTCCTCCTCCTCCTCCTCCTCCTTCTCCTCCTCCTCCTTCTCCTCCTCCTCGTGCTCCTCCTCCTCCTCATCCTCGTCGTCCTCCTTCTCCTTCTCCTCCTCCTCCTCCTTCGCGGCCGCCCTCCTCCCCCCCTCCCTGCCGCCTGCGGCGTGCAGTTCGTCTTCTGTGCCCCGACCCCAGCCCTTCCGCGCAGCTAGCCCGCGGTCGCCGTGGCGACACACAGAACAAAAAATCACAAGACGCAGTCTGCTTCTCCCCTCGGTGGTTCAAGGGTGGGGTCCTGAGGGATGAGGTCCTGAGGATGGGCAGGGATGCAGAGGGTGGATGTACACTGTCTGAGGCACCTCGTCCTCAGGACCCCATCCCTCAGGACCCATCTTTGAACCACCGATCCTTTGGTGCGAGTGAGCGTCCGCCCGGCCGGATGGCCATGCCAGCGTACTGGTTCGCCCGGGGGCAGCGAGGGGTTGTTTTGCGGAGGGCGGTCCTGGGCCTCCTCCCTCCTGCGGCGTCCTCCTCCGACATAGTCGTTGTTCGATCCTCTGGCGCGTATCGGGCGAAGAGAACGAGCTATGCACATACACCGATCCTGGCCAGGCCCATCCTTGGCACAGGATCGGTGGCATATGCCTCCCTGGCCGAGGCAGGAGGGCGTGCATGCACCGATCCTAGGCTCAGCATGGGCCTCCTGGCCAGGACCGGTGCCATGCGCAGACTCCTCTTTCCTCTGGCGCGGAAGGCTGCCTCTGCCCCCCCCGGGGTCCATGGCGATCGCAGCACACCTCCGCCCCGACGTGGCCCACCACGCCCAAGCGTTGATGTTACCCGCCCCCCCTCCCCCCGGCCCGGCCGGGTAACGACCGTTGCCAGGAACAAGAGACGTGCGGTCCCAGCCACGGGGCGCGGAAGGACATCCTCGATCCTCGATCTTGCTCCTCCTCCTCCTCCTCCTCCTCCTCCTCCTCCTCCTCCTCCTCCTCCTCCTCCTCCTCCTCCTCCTCTCTGGTTGTGTCTCTTCACTCTGGGATTCGGGGGCCGCCTGGCCCACACCCCCCGCCTGCGCCGGGGCTCGCCCGCGGGCAGCGAAGGGCCTCTGGCCCCGTCGCTGCGGTGCTGCGGCACTTGGGCAGGGGCGGGGAGGGCCGCCAGGCATCTCTCGTGTGGTTCGGGGTAGAGGGCGAGGTTCAGGAGGCAGGGGGCGGAGAAGGAAGAAGGGGAGGAGGAGCAGGAGGAGGAGGAGGAGGAGGAGGAAGAGGAGGAGGAGGAGAAGGAGTAGGAGGAAGAGGAGATGGTGGAGGAGAAGGAGGAGGAGGAGGAGGAGGAGGAGGAGAGGGTGGAGGAGAAGGAGGAGGAGGAGGAGGAGGGGGAGGAGGAGGAAGAGGAGGAGGAGGAGGAGGAGGCGGAGGAGGGGGAGGAGGAGCAAAGCGAAGGAGGAGGACCAGGTGGGGGGAGGAGGAGGGAGGAGGAGGAGAAGGAGAGCAGGATCAGGAACCCTCCTCCTCCAGGCACCAAATTTGCCCGAAGGAAAGCAACATATCCAGATGAAGGGGTTCGAGGCGCCCTGTTGTGTTCGATGTTGTGATTGCTCGGATCGATCTCGCATTGGTGAGTTAGCACGAGGGTCTGGAGGTCCGAAATGGGCAAGGAAAGAATATGATGGCCTTCGGCCCATCCCGCTACCGTGCCTGGGTTGTGCGTGTGGGGTTTATTGGGTGGTCGTTGGAATCTCGTCGAGGCCTCTCGGGGGCTGTTTTTGGAGCCTCTTGGGGCCTCGTGGAGCCTCGTGGGGGCCTCTTGTGGGCCTCTGGGGGCCTCTTGCGGGCCTCTTGGGGCCTCCTGGGCGTCTCTTTGAGCGGAGGGTTGTGATTCCTCTTTGGCTCCTCAGAGCCGTCTTTCGGGCCGTCCTGGGGCTCATTTGGGGGCCTCTTGGGCTGTCTTGGGGTGGTCTTTGGGGCCTGTTGGGCCGTCGTGGAGCGTCGGGAAGCCGAAAAGGCGGGAACGCCACAATCTTTTTCAAACCGAGGAAAATCAATTAACTGAGCTTCCTGGGGGCCTCTGAAAAGTGCTCCTGGACTTTGTGGGGCGTCTTGGAGGTCTCTAGGGGCGTCTTGGGGACATCTTGGACGTCTTGGGGCGATCGTTCGGCGACTCCTGGCCTCTTTTGACCGTCTTGGGGGCCTTCTCGGACCCGCCCCCGGCCTGTTTCGGGCCATCCTAGGCCCGAAAAAGTCATGCGACAAGCCGCGGGGGAGCCCAGGAGAACTGCGGGAAGCCGAGAGAGATTTGGCAATTAGGGGCCTCGGCCAGTATTCAGGACATGCCTAAAGGATTGAGTTCTAGGGGATCAGGCAAAGGACCTGGGGACACGTCCACTCCGTGCATAGCGGCCCATGTCCGGGGCGCCCCAGCAAAAACGAGGGGGAGGGCGGGAAGCGAGAGGAGCGAGGCGGGTCCGTGTGACTGCTCTCCCCTGGAGGGTCGGCGCCCGCGAGGCGGCGCGCGATGCAGGTCGCCCCGCGGCGGCGCGGAGGTCCCTCGCGCCTCGCGGCGCTTCCCGCGGCCTGGGTCCCTCCGGGCCCATCGGGCGGGGTCGGAGCAGGTGGGGTCGGAGGAGCGCGCCGCGTCGCCACCGCATCGGCGGTGCGATCTGACGTGGGGCCCGTTCTGTCTCCGCGCCGCCGTCTCCGGCGCTTCGGAGCTGGCGGCGACGACGAGAGGCGCGGCGCGCACAGGCGGGGCGAGGAGCGCGGAAGGCGAGCGCAGGCCAGCTGATCTCTGCTGCGGCCTCACCTTGGCTGCTCGTCGTCACCGCGGTGGAAGCCCGGCCCGAAAAAGGCGGGCCAGTGGGTGGACCTCGGGCAGAGGCCTCGGGGTCGCTCTCGAGCGGATTTCTAGGCCAGGCGGTGGAGCCGCCGTTGTCTAACTTGGCCCTCCTCATCCCTCCTCCTCCTCCTCCTCCTCCTCCTCCTCCTCCTCCTCCTCCTCCTCATCCCTCCCTCCTCCGCCTCCTCATCCTCCCTCCTCCTCCTCCTCCTCCTCCTCCTCCTCCTCCTCCTCCTTCTCCTCCTCCACCTCCTCCTCCCTCCTCCTCCCCTCCTCCTCCTACTCCCCCTCCTCCTCCTCCACCTCCTCCTCCCTCCCTCCCTCCCTTTGCCCCTCCTGCTTCCTTCTCCTCCCTCTCTTCCCAGGTTGATGGCCTGGTTCAGCGGTGGCGGACGCGCCCCCACCCCACAAAGGATCGGTTCGGACGCAGCGGGAGGATACAGTTGACCCGCATATGGAGGATGGGCGGACTTCCTAAGGGTGCCCGTGCATCCTCGCCTCCTCGGTCCACCCTTCGCCACTTCCGTTGGCCGCGCCCCGCTCGAGAAGCTCCGACATGGGCGTCCAAGGCCCTTGCATCCGTATCGCGCAACCTCGTGATACGGGTTGACCGTAGGGTCTGGAGATGTGCCCAGGGTGTCGCGCCGCCGGTTCTGGCCTGCCACGCCATCGGCGCTGCACGCCACGCGCGCCCCCGCTTCCAAGCGCCAAGGTCCCAGGCTCCTGCCGGCCTCCCGCCGCGCGGAGCGGAGCGACAAGTTGCCAGCTCGAGTGGCACAGCGAGTGGCCAGGGCCACCGCCGCGACACTAGGGGGAAAACAAACCTACCTCGCTTTTGACCACCCTCGCTTCCAAGAGATACCAAACGATGCCAAATTGCAGCCTGTACTGGTCAGGCCGCTTGACGAGGAGGCGCATGGTATGGCTTGGTTTTGCCTGGAAGCGAAAGCGGGGTAGGTAATTCACGCTCTGAGACACGCTGAGCACATGTCCCCGACCGTGGGGGACATGGAGAGGGCCACAAGCGCTGCTGCTCGCAGCCGGCTTCGGCCTCGCCGCCAGGCGCTCTTCCCCGATACACTGGCGCCTCGCGGCGCCAGAAAAACCAGCTGCGCGAGCTGGTTCGCGAAGTTCGAGGGCTTCCAAACTGTCCCCCAAGGACCTCACCGCGCGGTCCGCCACTGCACGGCACGGTTCCAGGACCTCGGAGGCCCCAGGTGCCCGAGGCGTCCTCGGAGAACGACCCACGTCCCAAAACCGTCGGGTCCCTGCATCCCCACCGCTTCACCGCGCGGTCCGGTCACCACGCTGCCTGAGGGCCCCCGATGAGCCGACCTCCCCGCCGCTAGCCCCTCGCCTGTTCGGATGCAACTCCTGTGAGGTCAAATTCTGATTTTGTCCTGGTCCGAAATCCGGCTTAATCCGGCTGAGTCTAGCCTAATCCGGCTTAATCCCGTTTAATCCCGCTTGATGCGGCAGAATCCGAGGCCCACTCCGGCGTAGCAGCACCCCAACGGGGCCTAATCCTCCGTAGTCCTTCCGACGAAGACCTCCCAGCACTTGCCTCCTAACGCCTGGCCGACCCGCAAGGAGACGAGCACCAGCCTGCTGATGATCGTGTCGCTGTATGGGTTCAAAAACTGGGCGCGTCTGAACGGCCCCCCGGGCAGCTCAGAACTCGCGGCAGCGCTTTCGGAGGGTGCGGGGGGGATGGGGGGTGCTTTTCAGGGGCAGCGCCAGGGGGAGAGACTAGTATTGAGTCGGGTCAAAGCCCTTCCACAGGAGGGCCATTCACAAATAGTGCAAAATAATCTGGGGACGATGTTTCGACTACTTTTGATGTTTTTGTTTGAATATGTTTGCCTATCTTTTATTTATCCTCCAAAATCCGCCTGTCAGAGGACATGCCCGACCTAATGTCGGGCCGGACGAAAGGGGGGCATGGGGAAAAGGGGGGTTACGAAATCTGCTGCATGCAGCTGGTTTCGGCCCCGCCGCCGGCCCCATTCCTTGATACATGGGCGCCTCCCGGCGCCGGGAGGCGCTGGGCAAATCAGCTACGTGAGCTGATTCTCTACCCTACCCTTTGCTATCCCCCGCTTTTGTTCCCCCTGATCATACTGGTAGGCTCCGGGGGGGAGGCATCGGCCGAGGGGAGCGACGATCGCCGGGGAAGGGGGCCGGTCGAGGCATCGGCGGCCTTCTCTCTTCGAGAGGCATTCTTAGGCTTCGAGGCTCGAGGCACGCAGGTTCGAGTCGGGCATGTCCCTCTAGAGTTGTGGAGGACCATCAGTGGAGAGGAAGCATGTTGCCAACTGATTTCCAGATGACTAGAACATGTGTTAAAGCTGTTTGACACGTAAAACGCATGTTTTAAACATTTCCAGAAACTGTTCTGGCATGTTAAACGCACCTTTAAATAATTCGATTATAAGACTGTTGGGGTGTCCATTGTCGTGGCATCCACTACTCCAGAGGAAGAACGTCCAAACATAGTCGAAACGCATACTTTGGGGACGACTGTCCAATCATGATGTGACTATTTGTGCCTACATGGTTGGACTCAAAGCACTCGGGGGTGGACAGACCTCCTACCCCGACTCGTCGATTAAGGAATTGGCGTTTTTGGTTGGCGGGAGGGCGTCGCGGCCGTCATTTTTGCGGGTCCAGGTCCGTCGGTTTCGGTCCCAGGCCGTTTTCATTAAAGGGAGGTTTACCAAAGGGAGGTTTGTCCACCGCCGAAGCACGCCTATAGGCGGACAAGCCCGACCTACCTGCAGGCGCTCGGCTCTCCGACGGCTCCCGGCGGTCCCCCAGGCTCCAGGCTGCGCCCCGCCGAGGTCGTGCCGCGGGGTGCCCAGATCGTCCAGGGCGGTCGCCGAAGGGCAGAGTTATACCGCGTGGGGGGATGGGCTCAGGAGGGGACGCATGGACATTCAGTCGGGCGTGTCCCTCTATAGGAGGAATATGCAAAAATTGTCAAACCATAGTCTGGGGGCAATGGTTTGAGCATTGTTTTTGTTTTCCTATGTTTGACTACGTTTCGAATAGTTCTTATTGTTCGTCCAGAATCCGCCTGTAGGAGGACATGCCCGACCTAAGGATAGGCTCAGGAAGGGACGCATCGACCCTCAATCGCCCACCGATCACCAACAGAGGGTCGATAACCAGCCCCCGCCAAGGACCGTGCGGGCTCGCTATCGGGAGCCTAACGTCGATCCATCGGCGGTACATCGCCGATTCCAGGTTGATGTCTCCCCCCCGAGCCGGCCCCCCCCGCAAATTCCTCCGCGGCGCTGGTGTCGGGCCGCGCTGGCGCCCACGCGCTGTTCTGTCCCTCCTTCCCAGGCCCCCGACATCATGATTTTTTCATGACGCGACTCCCAGAGGTCGGGACCCTATTCGCCGGGACTGGCTTTTCATCCTGAGTTGTTTTTTGACGGTCCCGAGGTCTGGTATGGGCCTCCAGAGGCGGAAAATGGAAAAACCTCGCATTGTCAGAACCATCCCAACCCCGACTTCGACTGGGCCAGTTGGCTCTCTCAACGTACACCCTCGTGTGCGGGGGCAGTGGGTGCAACGAAGCCTGCAGGAGACAGCACACCCATGCCCGCCAAGGGGGGACAGGTCGGCCAACGGGGCGAAGGTTTCCTTGTTTTGGGGCGGGGATAGCTTTTCGGCGGCGAGCGAGGGGGGGGAATGAGAAGGAGAAGGCCTTCTCAGAAGGCGGCGGGACTTGTCAGAAGGCTGGGGAACTTCCGAGCCTTCTGAGAAGGCCCGCTCCTCCTCACCCCCCCCTCGCTCGCCGCCGAGCTTGTACTTGCCGCGCAGACCACCCTTCTGTCGTGATAAGGAAGTTGGGGGCACGTCACTTTTGATTCGCACTGGCCGCACCAACAGTTCATGGCCACAGCCCAGGGGACGACCACGGGACAACCCACGGTCACCGCCGGCGGACAGGAAGGCATGCGCGTTCGCCAGGTACCGACGTCGCAGCCGATATCCCTGTTGAGGCCACGCGCTCTCGCCCCCCCGCCCTCCGATGTCCGCCAGGACCCCGCGGTTGTCCCGATGGTGTTCCCGACGGCTGGGTTGTGCCGACGGCTGCCTCGATGGAGGTCCCGATGGTTGTCCTGACGATTGTTCCGTTGATTGTCCCGATGGCTATGCCGATGGGTGTCCTCGTTGATTTATGGTCAGATCGGTTTTTGATTGGTTGTGAGGTCGGCAGATAGATAGATAGCGAGTCCGATAGGTGTTATGAGAGTCCGATCGTGGCATCTGGTTAAAATGTGAGACGAGTAGAGGGTAGCTGTCTGGAGATGGATAATGTTTATGTATGTGTGCAGTTCGCGAAATCGATAATTCGTGGGACCGATCGGGAATCCACATATATATATATATACATATATAGCTACATATCTATATATACACATATAGATGTGCGTATACGTAGCACCATGCAGATGCGGATAAGAGTGAGAGGGCGGTGGGGACGTCGGCAGGTCGCGAGACTCTGGAGAAGCTCGCCGCAGGCGTCAAAGTTTCACAAAGATGCAACGAGCCTGCCGAAGGCGCCGATTTTTTCGCTGGGTGGGTCGCTGTTGGGTCGCGGGTGTCACTCTGATATATATATATATATATATATATATATATCCACATATATGTATATGTGTATAAAATTATGTATATCTACCGATCGTGTATGATGCACGGTTCGCGTGTGAGACCGATACACGGAAATACATGAATACACATTTGGTGCAACGGAATTGGTTACTGTTTGGCGCATGCGCGGATCGATTTACATTTTTACAAATGTAGCATTGCATTGTCCGGTAGACTTGTGCATATGTAGCTGATGGCCTTCGGCCCATCCCGCCACCGTGCCTGGGTTGTAGGTCATAGGCTTCTCGAGGGCCTCTTGGGAGCCGTTCTGAAGGTGTAGGGGCTGGTTGGGGGCCTTTGGGGGCGTCTTCGGGGCCTTTGAGGGGGTCTCGCTGGGCCTCTTTGGGGCTTCTTGGGGCCTCCTTGGGGCCTCCTGGGACCTTCTTGGGGCGGAAGACTCGGATTTTCGGTTCGTATCCTCACGCTTGGTCCCTTCTGGGGTCTGTCTTTGGGCCGTCTTGGGCCGTCTTGGGCGTCTCTGGGGCCGTCTTGGGGCCCTCTGGGGCAGTGTTGAGGCCATCCTGGGGGCCTCTTGGGCCGTCTGGCGGCGGTCCTGGGGGCCGTTTTGTGCCGTCCTGGAGCGTCGGAAACTTGAAAAGTCGTAAACACAAAAATCATTGAAACAACCTCTTTGGAACACTCATGATTGTGGCCGCTCGGGACCCTCTTGGGGATGCTTTTGGGGCTCTCTTGGGGTGTCTCGGAGGCCTCTTCAGCCGTCTTGGGACTATCTGTGGCGTCTTGGAACGCTCATTCGGCGGCTCGTGGCCCCCATGGGCCGCCTTGGGGGCCTCTTGGAGCCCTCTTGGAGCCCTCTTGGTTTGTCCTGGAGGCTTCTTGGGCCCGAAACAGTCACTCGAGAACATGCCGGGAACCCCAGGTGGTACGCGTGAAGTTTTGGGAGATTTGTCAATAGCGAGCGCGGGCCGCAAAGGACCTTGGCACACGCCCATTAAGTGCCCAACAGCAAGATCGCGTCTCGTCCTGACATTCCTTGTTGTGGTTCGAGCCACATCTATGCACACCTGTACAGTAGAGTTGGTGGCCTCTTCAGATTGTCGTTCCTAAGTCAGTATATACGTATGTTTGTAAGCACGTGCGACGCAGTCCAGGCATATCGATATACGCTCATGTACATCTGTACAATGACTGCATATACGTATATGTGGTTACCCATGCATGTACAGAAATAGATATATAAATATGTGGACACCCCACATGATCATACTGGGTTCAGCCTCTGTTTATGTTTCGGCTCCTTCTTCTTATTATTATTATGATTATTATTATTATTCGCGCTCGCTCTCTCTCTCTCTCTCTTCTTCTCATCTTTACCTCCTCTTCTCCTCCTGCAGGGACAGCCTTCCCAATGGATTCGCTTTGAGGCGTTCGCACGGATGGATTCTTATGTGGCGGCCTCACAGAAGGATCTTCGTTTGACGAGCCTTATTGAGGCAAATGTATCAAGGACTTCTGCACATTCCATGTGTGATTCAAGTGTTTGGGAACCACACCGTGTGAGCATACACTTATGCTCTATGTGCTGTTGCAGGTGCTGGGTGGGCACAAAACTATCACATCAATTGAAACGTTTTCTCGAGACAGGCGCCCCTCTGTCTGTTCCTCCTCCTCCACGCCCCTCAGGGACAATGCGCCAGCATGAAGACTTGTGAGCACACAGAAATCCCATGTATATGTCGAGGGAGGACAAACCATCCGGACCCGACAATTGGCGTTTATTGAACGGCCTTGGGCGTTCACTAAACACCCCTGCCCAGTTCGATCCTTCTTTGGGTGCGTTTACTAACGGCCTCGTGCATCGGGGCGGTCATTATCGGGGTGGATGATCTGCCTTCTGATATGTGTGTACATTCACATATACATATATGTATAAAACCTTACTGTGTTTGTAAAACAACCTTATGCAAGTGCAGTGTTCCCATATATGTGCTCGGGTCGTGTTCGGTCAGGCCATTTGTCCAGGGACGACCGCCCCTCCCCCGCCTGCCCGCTCTCCGTCTCCACGCCCCCCCCAGGGACACCGCGCCAGGCAGGAGCACCTGTGAAGGTACAGAGATTCCGCGCCGCAGGTTTCGGTGAGGAAGCAATGCGACAACACGTTTACCGCAGATATGGTTTCAGCTTTCAGTAAGGAAGCCATTCAACAATACATATAGCGAATCTGTCTTTAATTTCTCTGCCAGCGCGCCCCCTCCTCCTGCTCCCGCAACCTCTCTGCAGCGAGTCGGTGTCCAGAGCACTATTTGGAATACATGGAATATCTATGGGATCACACAGGTTCCTTACCAAGGCATTGGAACATAACTGGGGTAGCTGTGTTTTCAGAGGGTGTCCTTACCCAGACCTTGAAACATATATGGGGTAACTGTGTTTTGCACCGGGTTTCCTTAGGAGCACCTTCAAACATGCAAGGAGGATGGTTTCCTTACCCAAACCCTTAATTATATATCGAACATCTAGTGGCCTTCGACCCATCCCGCCACCGTGCCTCGGTTGTGGGTTGGAGTCCTCAGGGATGCTTCTTGGGGTTCTCTTGGGAGCGCTTTCGGGAGCATCTTGGAGGAAGGTTTGGGGGCTTATTGGGGGCTTCTTGGGAGCCTCTGGGGGGGTTCTTGGGAGCTTCTTGATGGCCTCTTAGGGCTTCCTGGAAGCCTCTTGGGGGCCTCATGGGGGCTCTTGGCGGCCACTTGGGGGCCTCATGGGGGCTCCTGGGGCCTCCTGGAGCCGAGAGCACGAAATATCCATTTGGACTCGGGGCCTGCTTGAACCGTCTTGGGGCCCTCGTCGGTTCGAAAAGTTCATGCGACAATATGCCCCGGAACTCAGGGGGACCTGCGGGAAGCCCCGAGAGATTTGAAAATGTGGGGTGCGGGCCCTTCAAAAACTCTCCAGGATTGAAGGCCGAGGCTTCAGGGACAGGGTTAAAGGATTGGGCAAAGGACCTGAGCACACGCCCACACGCGGATCTGTATGTTCAAAGGCTTCCTTGAAGAAACAGCCCCCGTGCTGCCTCTCAAGAGAAGTCATGCTCACGTCGCGCTCGCTAGACGGTTCCCCAGTGGAGCCTTCTGGAGCCTACGCCATTCCTCTTTCGCCTCCCTCCTCCCTTTCCGTTTCTGCTCCTGCTCCTGTTTGTTCTCCTCATCTCCTCGTCTTCCTCGTCCTCCTCGTCCTCCTCATCCTCGTCCTCCTCGTCCTCCTTCTCCTCGTCCTCCTCCTCATCGTCCTCCTCTTCCTCCTCTTCCTTCTCCTTTCCTCCGGGCAATCTAATCGTGGATCCTTCTGTGTCTAAGGGGCATAAAGAACAATTGTGACGATGACGACGCCCAGGTTTACGTCGCAGTAGCGCTATAGACGGAGCTGTGCAGGAGGAGTTGGAACAAGATGTATGGTGTAAGCTGCTGTGAGATCTGCGGGAACAGTGATACTGGCTGGCACATGGGCTGCATAATGAATTACAACATGAACTGCTCTGGAAAGCGCATGCGCTGTTCATCAAACGTTATCCATGAAGCCAGTTTTGGCCCCGCCGCTGGGCGTTCTCCATGATGCACGCGCGCATCTAGCGCCAGGAGACGCCAGGAGACTCGGCCGCGTGAGCTGAGCTGCCCCCCACCCTCCATTATTTCCCGCTCCGTCCGACCCAACCCTCCTTCAAGCGAACATCTGGTGCAGAACGAGGAGAAGAAGGACGGATAACGGAGGAGGCAGGAGACGTTCCGCCCCGCAGGCTTAGTAGGCTGTGGAAGCGACAGGACCGCTTCTCTATCGTTTTAGCTGTTCAGTGCTTGTTTTGTTTCTGGCACCGTTTTTCGGACTTGCCTTTTTTTGGGTCGGGGGCCTGGTCTTGATTGCTATTTTTGACCAGATCCGAACCGTTTCCGAACCTGTTCCGAACGTCTTTCGGATCCCCTTAATCCTTGGCCCGGTACAGCGAACAAATTTGTTTACTGTTTCGGGGAACAGTTTTCGTTTTGATTTTGTTTTTTTGCCCAGAACCCACTTGACTAATTTGTGGCGTCGCCCAAACCTTGCCTCTACCAGCCAACGATTCTCCTGAATCGATGGACGAAGGAGGGAGGTTTCGGATTGCGCCACGTCCGTACAACGCATTCCGAACCCTACCCCCGCCGCCGATCGTTTCGTCTGAATCGTTGATCGTCGAGGCTAGGCTTCGGATTTCGCCGCCGAGCACAAACCCCAGAGGCTACTCCACGTTGTACAACGAGGGGGACACCATGGTCCACGAGGGTGGGCACATGTTCGGACTGTACCACACGTTCCAGGTCGCCTGTCTGCGCTTCGCTCCCTCCTCCCCCCACCACTCTGGAGTCCGCGGGCGCCGAACTTTGAGATTCACATGCACGCACCTATGCACACATGCATACATACATGCATACATACATACATACATGCATGCACACATACGTACATGCATACATACATACATACATACAGACAGACAGACAGACAGACAGACAGACAGACAGACAGACATACACATGTAAATAGATATCTCTCACGCAGTGTTTGTGCCCAGGGGCTCTTCCTTCTGTTCTGAGGCAACTGGGCCCCAGAGGCGGTCCGACCGGCTCGTCGACGCTCGTCGCCGCCGTCGCCGCTTGAGCACTCCGTTTTGCATTCGAGTTGTTTTGCATTGGGTTGTTTTTTCTTTCGCTTGCAATTCATGTGCATGTCGTTGCATTGCTGTGCATTGCTTTGATAGCTTTGCAGTACAATCGCGTTGCATTACTTTACATTGATTTGCATTGCAATCGCACTGCAATCGCTTTGCAATGCTTTACCTTGCTGTGCACTGCTGTGAACTACATCGGTTGCACCGCGTGGCTTGCAGCACCTAGATTGCACCACATTGATTGCACCGCCTAGATTGTACCGAGCTGGTTACAACTATATATGTATACGCACAGTGCACATGTGTTTAGAAGGATCGCCAGAGACCTTCAGAGGCCTCTGCAGGCCTCCAGTAAATTCTCTGGGGACCTCAAGAGTATTCTGTGCACCTCTACGTCCTCCTCCTCCTCCTCCTCCTCCTCCTCCTCTCCGTGCTGCTCCAGGAGATCCCCCACTCAGGCGTGGGCTTGCAGCTAATATTCATGATCCGCCTCTTGTTTTCTCGGCCCCCTCCTCCGCCTCTCCCTCGTCATCCGGTTCCTTCCTTCTCCCGCGCCTCCATGTCTTCCTCTTCCTCATGTTGCGATGTTTGGAGGGTGTGCGGAGGAAAGCTGGGCACGGGGGGAGCACTTCGGAGGGAGGAGGAGAGAGGAGGAGGGAGCCCGAAGGAGAGAGAGGGGGAGCGGGCGGGGGGGGAGGAGGAGGAGAAGGAGGGAGTGGTGATGGGGAGGAGGAGGGAGGAAGACTGGGCGGGGCGGGAGAGAGAGAGAGAGTGTGTGCGTGCGACTTAGCAAAATAGATACAGAGAGATAAAAAGGGAGAGGGAGAGAGAGAGAGAGGAAGAGATAGAAAGACAAGACATATATAGAGAGAGGGAGAGAGAGAGAGAGAAAGAAAAAACCACATATCAGCAAACACATACAACACACAAAAGAAGACAGAGAGGGAGAGATAGAGAGAGAGAGACCGACAGACAGAGGCAAACAAACAGGTAGACAGACAGAGAGACATATCGAGAGAGCGAGCGAGAGAGAGAGAGATAGGAAAAGAGAGCGAGAGAGGGGGAGAACTGGGAACAGCAAGCTAGGGGTGCTCGCGCCAAGGAAATACATACACATTTATATATACATATATATATATATAAATGTAGATTTGTATGTTTGTTTACATATGACGTACACACCACCTCTCCTGCCAATCTCTCCCCTGTCGCTGGATTATGTTCGATCTAACCTCCGCCGAGCGAGGTGTCTTAGAGAACATTGATCCCCCTACTGACCCCATCGTGCGATGCGTGGTTGGATAAGGGGATCTTGCGCACCAGAGGACGATGAAGAGGAGAAGGGGATGATGATGATGCTGATGATGATGATGATGTCGATGATGATGATGATGATGATGATGATGATGATGATGATGATGATGATTATGATGATGATGATGATTATGATGATTCTGATTCTGATGATTCTGATGTTGCTGATGATGATGATGATGCTGATGCTGATGATGATGTTGATGATGCTGATGCTGATGATGAGGATGATGATGAGCATGAGGAGGAGGAGGAGGAGGAGGAGGAGGAGGAGGGTAAGGAAGGAGGAGGAGGAGGAGGAGGAGGAGGAGGAGGAGGGTAAGGAAGGAGGATGATGAGCAGGAGATGGAGTTGGAGGCGGAGGAGCAGGAGCAGGAGCAGCAGAAGGAGAAGGAGGAGCGGGAGGAGCAGGAGGGCCAGGAGACGGCGGATGCGGGGAAGGAAGGGGCGGCAACGACGATGACGGGCTCGGATTCAGAACTGCCACCCGCGCTGGGGTGGAACGACGGGAGCAGCGCGCCGATCCTGCGCTGTGGCTGGCGCGCTGCTGCGGGAACGCCCTCCTCGAGGGCCGAGGGCGCTCTCCGATCGAAACGAGCGCACTCGAAAGTACACATCCCTGAGACCATGCGCGCGTGCGCGTGCACGGGGGCGGCGGCACCAGCGGACCGCCGGCGGGGGGAAGAGGAGAGAGAGAGAGAGAGGGAAAGCGCGGGCATACACGGGGAGAGGACGCAGAGGAAACCTGCGGGAAGGATGGAGGAGCTGGGGAGGAAGGAAGGAGGAGGCGCGGATTCGTGCGGAACGCGGTGGCGCGAGGGGGGAGCGCGAGGCCATTCGGGGGCGGGGTGGGAGCGGGGGAGGAGCAGACGGGAGGCGGGAGTCGGGCAGGCCCGGGAGGAAGAGGGCTCGCCCCCCCGGCGCCCCAGATGCGCTCTCCCAGAGCCCTCCGGAGCGCCCTTGGACGGCCGAGGCCCCATCAGCCGGCCACGCCAGCGCTCCGCGATCCCAGATCTCCGGGTACATCCTCGTCCTGCCTGCGTTCGGCGGCGAGTCCGGGGGGGAAGTCAGAAGGGCGGGGGGGCTTCTCAGAAGGCTCGGGAGTCCCCCCGGCCTTCCGAGAAGTCTTCTGAAGGCCTTCCCGAAGACGCAGAAAATCGTTCGGAAGGCTGGAGGCCTTGTGAGACTCAGAGGCGTCACTTCCCTATTCATACTTTTAAAAAAGTCGTGGGTGGAAGAAAAAAAACACGATGTCCGCCTGGGCCCCCGTCGGAGGAGCTGAAATGCAAGCGCAACGGCGCGCGCGGCCACGCGCGACCCGCCGCTGGTAATTACGTGAATGCGCGGGCGTCGCGGCGACAAAGATGGCGGCGACGACGACGACGACGGCGGCGTCGGCGCCGACTGCGATGACGATGGCGGCAACTACGACGGCGGCGACGACGAACGTCGCGGCGACGGCGGCGACAGGGCCCGGGCCCACGGGCGAACGTGCGCCCCGCCCTCGTTCTTGGAGCCCCACGCCAGATTTAATGGAGGGAGCGAAATTTCTGCGCGCAGTTTTGCCCCAGCCGTCTCTCCGCTTTACTAAAGATCTGTTTTTGCTCTACTAAAACGTCGTCCTTTCGGAATGTATTGAGCGGCGCGCCTTTCCTAAAGCCGTTGTCTCGCTTTAGTAAAAGCATTTCTTCGCTTTAGTAAAGCCGCTTCCTCGCTTCAGTGACACCGCTTCTTCGCTGTAGTACAGGCCGCGGTCTGCCTTACGAAAGCCCTGGGGGTGCGGGGCCAAAGCCTGGTCGGGGGGCTCGGGCCCCCTGTATTTCCTGCCAGTTCACCCCGCGATGCATTGGCTCAAGTAGCCAGGGTCGCGTTGCATCGGGTCGCAGCGATTCTTGGACATGTTTTCAGCGAGTTGTAGTTGCTCGTTGACAGGAGATTCAGGGCGCGACCGCAGGACGTGGCTCAGCCATTCGCAGGCGCCGCCGCGGCTATCGCGCAACGGAGCAACAGCACTTTACTGAAAGGTTCGTTCGAAGTAATAGTGTGAATTTTCCGCTTCCAACATACACCCCGCCGCCCTCTGTGAAGGCCTTGTCCTTTTCACTTTCCCCCCCTCGCTCGCCGCCGATTCGTCTGCCGGAGAGGGGAGAGGGGAGAGAAGGGAACGTGTGGGTCACATTGCAATCAGAGTGGCCAGTTCACAACCACATGGGGCACTTTACAACCAGCATGGGCTTTCCCAGAAGGGCACTTTGCAACCAGGAAGGATACTTTACAACCAGGCGACAAAACGCACATAAACGACACATGTTCCTCAATTTCCGAAATCTCCGTGGGTCCACGTTGGGAGGCATTTCGCTCTCTGAAGCGTGTTGGTTGTAGAGTGACCCGTCTGAAGTGAGAGTATGTGAAATGGCGGATACCGAATGGTATCCAACAACAATTAGACTGGAATCAGGGTGGCGCCCTTCCCAGTGGGATCTTGTAGGCACCGGATGAATCCCACTGGTGTCTAACAAGCTTCCTCGATATGAGGCTTACGGGTGTCCCATTCGAATCCGATAGGGGGGCGCTTCCTATTGAAAACCGTCGGGGCCCTTCCAATGGAAAACGATTGGCAACTCAACTGAGTTACAATCGAAGACGCTTCCTATTGGAATGCTGTGGGAAACGCACTGGGGGTATTATATGGATACCCAGTGGGAAACGCACTGGGAAACGCACTGGAGAAACGGACTTGGGGTACGCATTGGAACCCGATTGAGATCCAAAAGAGACCTGCCCGCTACAGGGTGGAGACAGGCCTGGGCGGTGTACGATTGTTTAACATCCGCGCCCTAAATGTGCATCGCTTTACCTCTGCCTGGAAATCTTGGTTCTTTTGGAAATAGAGAACAGCAGCTTCGTCGCAAAAGACGCAGAAGAACACGCGCGCCCCCAGGAGAGCGGACATGTGGCCAAGAAGCCGTTGGTATAATTCTAGCCAACGCATGCGGACCATATTTGTTTGCATCAAAGACATATTTTGCCTTCGCGCCTCACCGGCTGGCAACGACGCAACCGTATGTTTTCGCATGTGCATAAGCATGTGCGATTGCTCATATCCGTAAGGGCTTCGCCCCCTGCCGCCGGCCCCCTCTCTCGGAGAATGGGCCATGGAAGAGCTAAGTCATGAGGCCTTGGCGCTGTCGTGAAGCAGTATCGAAACTTCATGCGAAGCCGATTCGCAATCAGCAAAACCAACTGATCACAAGAGGGGTTACCACACCTGGCGATTGGTAAGACGTGTATGGTTTACGGGCTTGGTTACCACACCTTGCGATTAAAGGGCCGAGGGAGTTCTCGCAGTTTGGGTTACCACGCCTTGCGATGGATGTGCGTGAAGGGTGGCACCGAATTTCAGAAATGTGGCAAATCCCCTGTGTTTTTGGACCCTGACCCCGCGGATCTGCGTGAGGGGTGGCACCGAATTTCAGAAATGTGGCAAATCCCATGTGTTTTTGGACCCTGACCCCGCGGATCTGCGTGAGGGGTGGCACCGAATTTCAGAAATGTGGCAAATCCCATGTGTTTTTGGACCCTGACCCCGCGGATCTGCGTGAGGGGTGGCACCGAATTTCAGAAATGTGGCAAATCCCATGTGTTTTTGGACCCTGACCCCGCGGATCTGCGTGAGGGGTGGCACCGAATTTCAGAAATGTGGCAAATCCCTTGTGTTTTTGGACCCTGACCCCGCGGATCTGCGTGAGGGGTGGCACCGAATTTCAGAAATGTGGCAAATCCCATGTGTTTTTGGACCCTGACCCCGCGGATCTGCGTGAGGGGTGGCACCGAATTTCAGAAATGTGGCAAATCCCTTGTGTTTTTGGACCCTGACCCCGCGGATCTGCGTGAGGGGTGGCACCGACTTTCAGAAATGTGGCAAATCCCTTGTGTTTTTGGACCCTGACCCCGCGGATCTGCGTGAGGGGTGGCACCGAATTTCAGAAATGTGGCAAATCCGTGTTTTTGGACCCTGACCCCGCGGATCTGCGTGAGGGGTGTCGATTTCGAGCCCCCCCAGCAATTCAGACAACGCGCCCAGGGGGTGCTAAAAATCTGGTTTGGGCCTCCCCCCCCCTCGCGCGGTCAATCAACTAGTTACAGTAACCAGCAATAAGTCAACTAGTTACAGTAACCAGCAAGAAGCAGAACTGTAACTCTGGAAACTACAAGCTACAACTGGTACAGGAAACTGCGAACCTCGCTCCTATAGCCTGGTGGCCCCACAAGGGGGCCGGCGGATTCTAGCCAATACGTGTGGGTTTCGAATGGTTAGATTGCTTGCATGCGAAGCCATGTTGGTCATGGCGCCTCATCGCCTGATTATAGCAAAAACTGGTATGTTCTCGAACGTTCGGAAGCATGCGTACCCAGGACGGCAGAAATGTGGCCAAACAGAATTGGCAAACTAGCCGAAACATGTGGATTTCAAAGTGTGTGTTTGGCCGCACGCACAACCTTCGTGTTCGCGCATCACCGCTTTGCAGGAACAAAACCATATAGTTTCGCATTGGCGGTCGCATGCGCACCCAGGAGGACGAACATGTGGAAACGAAATCGATGAGAACACCCGAGCCAATACACGTGGATTTTGCATTGCGGACTTTTGAACCATAAGCCATGTCTGTCCTCGGTTCCCACGGTCTGACAAGCACGAAAACCGCATGTATTCGCCATTGCGAGAATGCGTGCCCCAGAAGGCGGACACGTGGCCAAGATATCGATGGTAACATTCGAGCCACTACGTGCGGATGCCAATGTGTTGCTACGGGCCTCACAGACAATTTTCGTCCTCGCGCTTAATCGTATGGCAATCACAAAACCGCATGTGTTCGCATTCGCGGAAGCATGCGCGCCCAGGAGGGTAGAAGTATGGCCAAGGAGTCGTTTGTAAAATTCGAGCCAACGCATGTGGATTTCAATTTGTTGTGCTGTTCCATCATAGGCCATGTGTGTCCTCGCGCCCGATCGTCGGGCAATCGCAAAAACTTATGTTTGCGTAATTGCGGAAGCACGCGTACCAAGGAGGGCGGAAAGAGCCCGAGAAATCGTTTGTTAAGTTCTAGCCCATGTATGCGGGGTACAAATTGCCACGCAAGCATTTTGTGGACTCGTTTGGCAGAGGCTTCAGAGCGGTCAGGCGCTCGAAAGCCTCTGCCGAACGCTCAGGTGCTCAGACGCCTCTGCAAGACGCCCAGGCGCTCTGAAGCCTCTGCAGAACGCTCAGAAGCCTAGAGGCGTCTGCACAGCGCTCAGGCGCTCAAAAACCTTTGCAGAACGCTCAGGCTCTCAGAAGAATCTGCAGAGCGCCCTGGCGCACAGAAGTATCTGCAGAGCGCTCAGGCGCTCAGAAGCCTCTCCACAGCGCTCAGGCGCTGAAAAACCTTTGCAGACCGCTCAGGCGTTCAGAGGACTCTGCAGAGAGCCCCGGCGCACAGAAACTTCTGCAAAGCGCGCAGGCGCTCAGATGCCTCTGCAAAGCGCTCAGGCGACCAGATGCCCCTGCAAAGGGCTCTGGCGCTCAGATGCCTCTGCAAAGCGTTCAGAAGCCTTTGTAAAGCGCTCAGACGCTCAGATGCCTCTGCAGAACGCTCAGGCGCTCAGAAGCTCCAGAAGCCCCTGCAAAGCGCGCGGGTGTTTCTCAAGGCTGGTTGTAAGGTAGCCGTTCTGGTTGCAAAGAGCCCCGTCTGGGTTGTAAAGTGGTCCGTTCTGGCTGTAAAATGGGTTATTCTGGTTGTAAAGTGGTCGTTCTCAAAAGGAATACCAAAGAATTTGATATTGTGTTTGTTGCGAAGTGTCGTTCGGTTTGTAAAGATACCGAATTTCAGGGAAGGGAGAGGAGGGACGAAGGAGAACGGGGAGGAGGGGTGGGGTGGGAAAGCGCCGGCCAGGGCGGATGCTCGGCGGAGGGTGACCTCGTGGGGGACACGCACGGTGAGTACATGCCGATGTACACGTGCGAGGCCCAGGTCGTGGCGGCGGGAATAGGGGCCTCCCAAATGGGGCCCGGGTCGACGCGATCGGAGGATCGCACCGAATCGCCGATACATCGACGACCCATCGACGACGCATCGGCGACGTACGCGTGGAGAAAATTTGGCGCCATATCGAGCCGAATCGCCGATGCATTTGCGAATGCGGCACGGTTCTCGGGCCCCACTTGGGAGGCCTGGAGGGCAAGGCATCCGTATCCACGCCTGCGTGGCACGGCCCCCTTCGGCAGCGACCCCGTGGATGCAAGGCGGGCGGTCTGGCGCGGATGCCCCCGGCGGAACGTACGTATCGGATCTCGCATCTCGGCGCAATCAACCCGCAGTGTAGAGAGGAGCAAGCTTCCCAAGGCTGCCCTTGCATCCTTGCCTCCTCAGTCCACCTTTGGCCGCGTTCGTTGGCCGCGCCCCGCTCGCAAAGTGTCGGCACGGCCTTCCAATTTCCCTGCACCCTTACGTACCGCGCATCCTGGTGAGATGGGCCGAGTGTAATCGAGGCCACGACGCACGAGGGCGCGGATGGACACGTTTCCCCCCGAGCGTCCCAACCTCCTGCACGACAGGAAGCGTCGATCAATCTAGCCTTGGCCCGGCAAGTGAAAAAGCGGGGGTTCAAGGATCCGGCCAACGGATATATAGACGCGTGCTCGAAGAAGAAAACGGCATGAACAGAAATGTTCGGAGATCCGCGCAGATTTGTTGGATCCGCGCTGGGGCCCCCTGGCGGCGCCTCTGGCGCCGCCCCCGGCGCGCTACGCGCGCCAGGGAGGGGGGGTCCAGCGAGGACCAGAGAAATCCGCGCGGAGCGCCAAAAGTCTATGCTTATGGCGTTTCTTATTTTTCTACATGGACGCGTGTGTTGTCGCTCGCGTCGAGGTGTCTGACTGCCCGGTCGCCACCTACAACCCGGTGCACAATTTCATGGACTATGCGGACGACCGCTGCATGTCGATGTTCACGATCGGCCAGACCCGGCGGGCGTGGTGCGTCATGGAGCTCTACAGGCCCACCCTCTACGCCGTGTCCCTGCAGGACATGTGAGCGGGCCAGCACACAGCGGAGGAGGGAGCGGACCTCATCCTCCTCTTCCGCCTCCTTCTCCTCCTCACCATTTTCCTCTTCCTCATCCTCCTCCTCCTTCTGCTGCTCCTCCTCCGCCTCCGCCTCCTCCTCCACCACCTCCCCTCCTCCTCCTCCTCCTCCTCCTCCTCCTCCTCCTCCTCCTCAGCCGTTTCGGCTGGGGCTCAAGCGAGCGGGCGCGCGCGCGGCGAGGCCCCTCTTCCAGACACAGACCCAGGTTGTGCAGGCGTGTATTCGGAGCGGCTCACCTGCACGGGCGTATATGGCATGCCTCGGTCGCGGAAACGAGCCTCGCCCTCATGGGCCAACAGAGGGCCCCGCCTCCGAGAGGCGGAGGGCGGAGGCAGGCCGCGACACCAGCGAGGACGAGCGCATTCTGCAGGCGGTCAATGCGGCCGCCCAGGAAGGGATGCGCGCGGGCATGAAGAAGCTCCTGGACGACGTGATGTCCATGGCGCGGGAGGAGCTTCGTGCCCAGCAGGCACGGCGCCAAGCGGAGATCACGTCCCCGCGAGCGGCGCCGGCGCCAGCCCTGCCGCCGGAAGGGCGCTCCGAGGAGGGGGCTGCGCCTCCCCCGCGGAGGCCCCGAGATGGGCCGGGGCCGAAGGACCACCTGCCAGAGGAGTCGCGGGACCAGAGCCCGATCCTCCCCAACTGGTCCAGGACAACCTCGGAGTAGTCGTACACGGAGGGCAGCGACGAGGACGAGGGGAGCATGACGGACGAGAGGATTCAGCCTGCGGGGCCACCCCGGCGGGTGGTGGAGCTAAAGGAAGCTCTGGAGGCCCGACGGGGCGGTGCGAAGCGGTGGTCTTCTGGCGGGGCAGGGTCAAGCACCTCGTCCGCGAGGCCGCCGCAAGGCCGTCCCTCAGTGGAGGAACCGGCGAGGCACCGGCACACCCAGAAGCCCAGCAAGAAGAAGAGGGACGCCCAGAAGGCGTGGGCGAACTGGGGCGGCGGCTCGCAGAAGGAGGAGAAGAACGAGGACCGCAAGAGGCAGAAGCAGCACGAGTGGGGCGACTCCAAGAAGAAGGGAGTGAGGGCGGATCCGCCGTGGAAGGATGCGCCCTGGAGGCAGGCGAAGTCATAGGGCGTGAGACCGCCTTTGACTTGGAGTACGCTTTCGAGGAGTTCGCGTACGAGGAGTGCGCCCTGCAAGGGTGCGACCGGGACCATTTTGGTCACGGGGAGTGTGAGGAGGAGTACGTCAGCACGAAACGCTGGTGCCGTACACAATCCTGCCCTGCATGCTGTGCGGCGGAGGCCTGGAGTCTGGAGGCGCGGCCGAGCTTCGCCAAAGTCGTTGCGGCGCAGGCCGAGGTCTTCAGGCATGAAGCGCACCGAGATAAACGGAGTGAGCCAGGAGATGAGGCACCAGACTCTGGGGACGAGGGAGCCCAATACGGAGCACTCGCGGACCCGGAGGAGATGAAGCCCCTCGAGGCGCACCCCGCGAGGAGCCCGCACCATGGGCTCACGAGCATGGAGGCGAGGAAGCTGGCCGGGGCCCCGTGAGGGACCTGCGAAGTGACCTCAAGGACGGAGACGAGGGAGCCAGCCGGGACCCAGAAGGGGGACCTGAGGAGCGACCTCGAGGCGCAGCCTGGCCCCAGCGATGGGACGGGGAAGACGCGCCAGACGAAGAGGCAGAGGAGGCGGCAATGGAAGCCGTTCGCGGCCCCGGAGGGCCCGCCCGAGGGGGCCTCGAGCGCCGCTGGCGCCGCTGCGCCGTGCGCGGCGGGAGTCGAGCCCGAGGCCGAGGCGGGTCTGGGTGCGCTGAAGAACCGGTTCTGTCAGGTCGTGGGCAACTCGATGGACTCGTGCACGGAGGAGGTCGAGAAGGCCTTGGACGAGCTGCAGCGCCTCACCGGCCAGCTGGACCCAGAGTCCCGCGACTCCGTCGAGGCTGGCGTGCTCCGGGGTGCCCACCTCTTCACGCAGCTGATATGAGAGAGAGGCCGGTGATACAGTCGAACGGTGCTTTTGGGCTTTTCGGCCGCGGGTCGCAGCGTCGCCACGGTTGGACTCGGCTTGGAAAGCTGGGGGCTCTACCCTTCGGCCCGGGCGGGCTGTGGGGTAGAGCCGTGGTGCCCCTGGGTGGCTCGCTGGCCCGTCGGTTTGGGTTTGTGTTTTTTCGGTCGGCTGCCTCATCGTCGCCACGGTTGGACTCGGCTTGGAAAGCTGGGGGCTCTGTCTTGTGGCCCGCGCGGGCTGTAGGGCTGAGCCGTGGTGCCCCTGGTTGGCACGCTGGCCCTCTGCAGGTTTCAGAGAGCGGGCATCCGTCTGGATGACTCGCTGAGCGGCAGCCGGCGCGCCGGCTCAGGCGGGCTCAGGAGCCCGCCCTCCGCCCGACCCGACCCGACCTCCTCTTCCTCCTCCCTCCTCTCTCGTCCCTCCTCCCTACTCCCTCCACCCTCGTCTCTCCCTCGCTGGAGTGGAAGAAGGGTGGGAATGATGGGGAGAAACGGCGGGGGAGGGGGGAGATTAACGCCATCACGACGAGCATGACGAGGGGAGAGGACGCCGTAATTAACCTCTCTGGCTCCAGCAGTCGGAGCTCGAGAGACATTATAAATGCCAGCCTAGTACCCGAAAAACGGGCAATTCGCTTGAGGAGCAAACGTGCGAACACACCGTTTGAGATCATTGCAAGCCCCAGCCTGTTCGGGGAGAAGGCTGGAAATGCGTCGAATACTAACAAACGGCATAAACATAAACTTTCGGAAGTCCGATGGGATTTTTGGATCGACGCTGGGGCCCCTGGCGGCGCCCCCGGCGCCGCCCCTGATGCGCTCTGCGTGCTATAGGCAGGGGGCCCCAGCGCCGATCCAAGAGATCCGCGCGCTTTTTCAACAGTTTTTCCCATACGTGAAGGTAAGAAGGACGCGAAGAACAGCGAGAGGCACGCGTGGTGCAGAAGGAATAGAAGATGCGCAACAGCTGCACGAAAAAAGGGGAGGAGGAGGACGAGCAGGGAGAAGGGAGACGAGGCACAGCACTCGACGAAGGGCAATGAGGCGGGGGGGGGGGGGCGAGGCACAGCAGGCGGAGGAGAGCAGGAGGAGGAGGAGGAGGAGGAGGAGGAGGAGGACAGCGAAAGAGGAGGAGGAGGAGGAGGAGGAAAGCAGGAGAGCAGGAGGAGGAGGAGGAGGAGGAGGAGGAGGAGGAGGAGGAGGAGGGTCGGTAGCCGTTTCGGCTCCAGGCCATGTGCAGGATCCATCCGCCTGGCGGGCCGGCCTCAGCCCTCCAACAGAGGCCGCGGCCAGGGGGCGCCGCCATGGCACGAAGGTGGTCAGCCGCGCCTTCAGCATCATCCACCAGCTGTTGAATTAGAAGGCGGACACCTTCAACATTACCCAAAAGCTACGGAACCGACCCACCTTGGAGGAGACCTCCCGGCAAGTATGCCGAGGCCTTACACGCATAGATGAACATGGCCACGAACAGACGCGGCCCAAGAACCAGCGGGGCACAACGTCCGACATCGATCCGACGACGCCGTCATCATTGCCTCGACCGCTCTTGCGAGGACGTCCAGGTACGGACTGCGTACGTAACAGGCAGCCCAGGTATGAGAACAAGCTGCGTCACGTGCAGCCCAATCACAACAACGAACTGCGCAACAGGGAGCCCGAGGACGAGAACCACCACCAGTACGACGCCAAGCGCGTTACCGAGATCGACATCAGGCACGACACGGCTGAGCAACCAAACGAGGTTACTATGTGCATCGTCGTGGAGGTGTTGGTAGTCAGCGGCCGCGCCTCGTGTGACGAGTAGTGCACGGCCAAGACTCCTTGTTTAATGGGCGCGGCGAATACAACTGCTACGCCGAACACACCGCCTACGGCTTCCTCGCGTCGCCACGGAAGTCACGAGGGGTACATGCAGATCTGCGAGATCCATAAGCAGAGCTCCCAGAACAACCTGCTACGTGACGCTAGCCATTGGCAGAGTTACGAGAACAAGAAGCCGAGCCCCGAAAACTACCACCTGTGTTACGAGGGCCACCGGCAGAGCTTCGAGAACCTCCAGACGCGCTACAAACGCCACCAGATGAGCGTCAAGTGCCAATCGCCCAGCGACTACGAACACCAACTGTGGCACCAGGGCCACCTACCGAGCCACCCGCCCATGACAGCACGATTTCCCGCCCAGAATGTGGAACGCCACAAATTAGCAGCCGAGGAGTCCGACTCTGACCTCGTGGGCTGCGAGGTCCAGAGGGGCGTGCAGGTGTACGCACTTCACGGCTACTTTCTGGGCCACGTGTACGAGCACGAGGAGGGCATCTTAGCTCCGCAGTGAGGAACAGCGGAGATCCGACGACCAACGGGCAGGATTTCGAGACCGCCCAGCCGGTCTACGAGGTCATTCAGAGCTTCGAGAGCCAGAGGCAGAACTACGAGACCCATCAGCTGAGCTACGAGAGACGCAAGCAGGGATAAGAGGACCATTGGCTGAGCCACAGGGGTAAAAGGAGGTGAAGGAAGAAGAGGGCCCGAGCCGGGAGTTCCAAGGGATCCGGACAGCGGACGATGAATGGCGGCCAGCAGATCTATAAGGGACACGGGAAGAGCTACGAGGACCACCCGGCGATCTACTGGAGCCTAAAGCTGAGCTACCAAGGTCACGAGCAGAGCCACGAGGCCCACCTGCAAAGCGACGAGGGTCACGACAACAGCCTCCAGGGCCACAAAGATTGACTACGAGGACCACAGGCACAGCTACGAGAGCCGCTCCCAGACCTACGACGGCCGCCAGCTCAACTACAAGGGCCACACAGAGGGCTACGAGGACCACCAGCAGAGCCACGAGGGCTATAAGCTCAGCTATGAGGGCACAAGCAGGGCATCGAGGACCAGCTGCTGCACCACGAGGGCCGCCAGGTGAGCTACGAGACCTACAAGCACAGCTACGAGGAGGAGGAGGAGGAGGACCAGCGCCAGACCGTG